AAAGGTGAATTTTGACATGATGATAATACCATCTAATCGCGAGAACAAACTTAAGCTTATTTATATATAGGTTACCTTGAATAACGTATCACACATTATTACATATATTTTATCTCAAAACAAAGTGGACGAATACACGAGTTACAGTTAGTTTAGATAGGTGTAACATGAAAGTATTATTGTAATAATACAATATATCGTATTATAAAAATAATATAGAGAAATGGTTTCACACTTGTACGTTACTCTCGCTAGAAAAGTCAAGAGGGAACACTGCACTCAGAAGTGTATATAAACGTTATTATGAGTGAATCTTCACAGACTACCATTGCGTACGATACATTCTATTTATTTTTTCAATAAACAAAAAAATATTATGTTGTTTCTGTATATTTCTTAAACTTTTTTATCTCTACTTGGTTTTAGATTTACGGACAGTTTAGGTACTGTTTTTTTTTTCTTTTTCGGATTATTCTAATGCAGTTGGCCGCAGCTGGCTTTTACAGCTTCACCGGACGATAGGGGGCGAGGGCAGATGGCACTCCAAAAGACTCCGCGGAAGGACTTATGGAGCGGCTGAAGGCCAACTCCCGCCTGACGAATACTACTTTAGTCTGAGGGCACCGCTAGGGGTTCGAACCTTGGCTCAGGCCGTCGTAATATCGATACCGTTTGAATTGGACTGGGGATCAATCGGAGGGGTTTAGGTACTGGTGACAGTTAAAATTTCAAGATACGCGAAAAGGTCAAATGACGGTTTCGACTGTCAAGCCGTTTAGCACATAGATTTATTTCCAATGGTAGCTAGTTCGATTCCTCGCACGATATAAACATTTATACTCATAAGTATGATTGTATCGGCGTGGGTGTTTCCTATGTATACGTACAGTATACATAGATATGTCAATTGTCTAGTAACCGTAATACAAGCTCTGCTTAGCATGGGACTAGATGACGCTGCGTGAATTGTCCTAGGTCATTTAATATGTGCTTCCATGATGCGGGACTACAGATAATCACACTAATACGATTTCCTAATAAATATTTAAAAGAAACTACTAGAAAATGTATATATTATTGGAGGTGACTCAGTAACACGTCATTGTGTTTATATAATGATATATTATAACCTGACTAATATTTTTGCGAAATTCACATGATTATTGCGCTTAAACTAAACTAAATTTTACATTGTCTCAATATTAAATAAAACGTCACGCCTACAAATCACGAATGGGTTAGTCAGATATTATTAACTGACCTTGTGGTGAATTTACCACTTGATATGCTGACATTTCGCTAAGTATATTTAATTTCACCGTGGTGTGATCCTAGCGTAGATATTTAGAATTAAATTTATGTTATAGGTGTTGAGCATCATCGGAAAGTTAGTCATAATACAAATAGACAAATATTATATCTATATTTAGTATACTAAAATTCCAAAAACAAGGATAAAAAAAAGCAATGTCACAGATTTGGGCGAATGTGGTCGGTATAAACAAATCTCAAAATTACTGATATAATATTATAAACAATAATAAATATAATATAATTATACTTATACTTTTATTCAATCAAAATTACAAGTACATATTCTCTAGCAGTTAACCATTACGCTGAACAGACAGAATAAAAGGCGATGCATAAATGTCAATTCATCATCCATACGATATAAACCATAATAATCTCACAATGCATGCAAACAGTATTATATAACATCTTTATTCTGTAACAATGTATGTTTTCTACATTGTAATATGCAATACTGATTAAATTATTATTATTATTAAATTCCATAGAAAAAACAAAAAATGAAACCTTCTATTTTTTTCTCCTCTACCCAAAGGTTGTCTGGGAAGAGAACGCTTAAGCGATAAGAGCGCCTTTTGTATATCTATATACAGTGGACCCGCGGTAATCCGGCCCCCTTGTAATCCGACATGGTCTATTATTTATTATTGAATATTTTTTGACAATATACTTCAGAGTGCATATACATACATACATATATACATATATAACATAGAATATTATCACTGGATCTGTAATTTGTCGGATTACAAGATACTCTTTTGTAAAAAAGTCCGACACTGCCCTGCAAAACGTTTGTCGGATAACCGGGGGTCCACTGTACTCTAAATATTCTGTTTTTCTTTATATATTTTTTGTTAAGGTGCAATAAAGAACAATATATAAATAAATGGTTAAAAATATATTCAAAAACCTAATCTTATGAATTTCGTTGTTTCTCTGTTTCTCAGTATGTCATAACAACAGTCATAATATTTACTCTTTAATACGATCGTCATAAGATTTCACACCACAATATAGAAGGAAAAAACATCAATTTATTACTAATTAAATAAAAATGTTCGATATTTAAAAATACATTATAATTTAGTATATACAAAGCGTCTTCAGAATTTATAATATTACTTTAAAACACAAGAGTAATAAGAAGCTCCATCGTCTTTATAGTTGATAATCAGTATTCATTTTTAATCATGTGATGCATAAAACTCACATAATTTTCTCTATGGAATATGCATATTCAAAATAGGTATATTTCTTAAACTTTTATTAAGTAATTAAATGCCAAAATGACAAGAAATGCCTACAATTTACATAAATTGAAAAAAAAAAAATATATATATGACCTTCTGCTAAGGAATAAATAGTCAAAGTCCTTCAATTTCATTAATATAACACTGGTTTTAGATGAAATGATTTGATGATTGATTTGATGAAACCTGTATAATATTATATACAAAATATTATATATATAAATTGTCCATTATGAAAATAGAGCAATAATAAGTTTTTAAATAAGCAATTTATAATAATTAATATTTATGTTTTAAATTAACACAACTCAAAACGTAAATTTTTATTCTTATATGATAGGTGTAAATAACCAAATAAATTACCATTATACCTTTTGGGTATAATCATACGCAAATGTCACCTCCACACTAGTATTATGTACTAATAATTTTGTGCTCACTTAAGGGACTTTTTATTATAACTGCCTACAAGGAAAATGTATAGAAATATTTTTAAAGCAGTACAAAAATTTAAAATAATTTAAGTACCTACATTATTTTGAACGCAATTTTAGGCCATATTTTTAATAGTATTTTTTATTATAACACAAATTTAATATTATTATTAATTTTTCCTTTATCAATAATGTGTTAATAACCCTTGATACATTTTATATCTGTGTGAAGTATGGCATTTATTATAATAAATACTATGGTACTACTTTCTTAATTATTTTTCATAGAAAATATATACATATACAGAGAAAGGCTTGATTATAATGATAATTTTAATAATTAGTTAATTAATATATAATTCTAAAAATTTATAGGAATAATATGTGTAGAATCAGATTTTTCTACATAATATCTAATTATAGGAAGGAGGACAATGAAGATATAGCAGATACCATCATAAAAGCCACAACTACTCTGTCAAGAGTGAACATCTGAAGCAGAAGAAAATCTAAATATAATTTTATACAACAAATTGCAATACTGTCTTTACTACATAATACACAAATTATCCTAATATAATTTAGTATTCAAATTTATATACATCTCATCTATAATTAAATGTAATGCACACATGTCCATTTTTGTAACAGCTCAGATTATTTTATTATAATATATATGATGGGCATGACTGACCTAAGCTACTAACCAAACTACACAGTTAAATTTTAATTTTTTATAGATCAATTCAAGAATAAAAATATATATACATATATATATTTTCCTCTGTCAATATTTTTTACAAAATTATCAAACTTCGGTGATCCAATTTAATATATAGAAATGTAATATATTTTATTGGAAATTTTGATAGTAATATAAACCAATTATAGCAATAACTTGTATAATTTCCATGAGTAATACAACAGACATCCAAGCAATTCTGTTGCTAACATTATGCTGATTTAATTTAAACTATGTGAGATACTCCTGTTGATTTTGATTCCTAAACACACAGTATACTGTGATTTCATATGAATATAAGAAAACCTTGGCAATTAAGTATGTATAGAACACATAATATATCAAGATAAAGTATTAGGTAACACCCAAAACTATAATTACTACAGGTATAAAGTATATAAGGCTGTTATATAATTTGTTATTAATTAATATAATATATGAAATACCTACATTTACATTTATTTTATAATATAATAATAACATAAATCTCAGGAATATTTATATAATGCTATCCAGTCCCAAATTAAGCAGAGCTTGTTATGGATACTAGACAACTGATATAAATACTTGGTTTTTTGTTAATACATACATAATAGACATAATAGACAATTATAGTTATGAATCCAAATGTTTGTATTGTGCGAGGAATCGAACCTGTGACCATTAGAAGAAAGGCAGTGTGCGAAACCGCTAAAGCACCTTGACAACAATTTTTTTTTCATGTAACTAGAATGCCAACCAAGCTGATAGTAAGTTATAACTATCTAATTTTATATGAAAAGCATTATGGACATCATATTTTCATTTGATCTCATGGTATCCAGTATTCCAGAGAACTAAGATGTCATAGCCTGTAATTTCACTATCTTGTCTCATTCTTCAGACCTAGACCACAGAATTGTAATGAACCAAATATTATTCCGAATATAAATTATAATATAATTAATTTTTAATTATTATATAATAAAATGTTAATCAAGATATGTTGGATATCTCATATTAATTTGAAATTAATATGTCCATTTAAATCACAGTATACAGAAATTATTATATTTATATTACATTGTATCTACATCAATGTTTTTAATGGTTAGATGAAATTAAACATTTAACCTTACTGGTCAATCAGACTTATGAATTAAAAATATATATATATATAAATATTTTGTCTTTGCATATTTTAAAATATATTTCCCAATATTTTCAGACTCGGTAGAGCATGGTTAAGAGTAGTATAGAAAATGAAATATCACTTACCTGTTTTAGCCGTTCTACATCTGTTCTGGCTTGTGGAAATGTTTGTTGTGCAGTCACCGATGGCGGAGTATATGTTGGGTACTCTAGGTTCACATTTAGCATCTGTGCAGCATTATCACGAGCCTCATAAGCCAACCCACGGATCTCCAGCTCTGAGGCTGTATGCATCAGGGATTGCAGATCTAGTTCCTGAACATCTACAGAGCCCTTGTACATAAATTCAACCAGGAGGTTGATTTCCGAAAATGGAATACCCTTGAGGATCACAATTGGGTGTTGGCATGGGTTGTCCCTGTAAAAATATCCATTGCTTTTTTTATAGATACTTAAACATACACTTTTATGTATTTTTATATATTTGTTCTGACTACCAAATATATTGAATACATATATTGATTTTATCATGACATAAAAATACAATTTAATATGTATTTGGTAAATCAAGGATGCCCACTGTCAAAATTGCAAATCAATTTGTATAAATAATATACATACACTCATAAAAATATGGCTTCTTGGCTGTTTACAATAATACTTACACAGAATTATAAATAACTTCACAAGAAAAAATAATGATGTCATATTGAGCAAATGGTACAGATTTCAATTAGGTAATTATATGTAAAACAATTTGTAACTGGCTACCACTGAGAAATACGATATTATATATATAAATTATATTTTTATTACAGAAAATATAGTACATACCTGAATATCTGTTCGAAATATGGACTGCATGCTGAAAGCACGAGTTTGTGTGCCTTGAGGGTCCCGTCCCGGCAGGAGAGCGTGACGTCGGCGAGTGCGGACGACGAGTAGATGGTAGTGAACAGCTGGCTCAAGTTCTGCAGGTGGTTGTTCCACTTCAAGTGGAACGTCTTATCGCTCACCAACCCCTGCATCTGCACCACCACAAACACTTAGGGATCACAAATCACACAACTTCACGTCTGATGAATAATCGACAGAAAACCGACTCCACTGCGACCGCTACATAAAATTATAATTATTACAATTTATTTTTAGAACGATGCCCGTAAAAAACACTATACGTACGCGGTATGACAGTGTAATATACTATAGGTACGTGCCGCCGACGGAATTTAGAACTATAAAATTTTATATTATTTAATTCAATTTGGCGTTACGCCGTTTTCATAGATAACTACCGGCGCGAATTTCTTACCTCGTATTCGCGTTTCCGACTTCCCTATTTTTCACAAATAACACCGAAACATTTCACAAAATTAAATACAATAATTATGTTACACAGAAAGCCGTGTCGTAAAAAACAGAGTGGGGCACGCCGTGGCCCCCTCCTTACCCCGGCCCCCTCGCACACAATCAATATACGGAATATGAGAGCGCGGCGCGCCCCCTCGTCCCCCGCATGCTTTATTATACCGTAATTAATATACAACTTTATTGTATTATAGACAGCGTTCATACATTCCAAGCAAGAATGTATCTACTCAATAATATTAAATTATAATACTGTCGTACCTACGTACCTCTAAGTAGGTATATTATTACAGTAGATAAAAATAATATATTAACTCGCTATTTAAATATATACAATACATAATAGTCAACTAGACGTCATTAGAGGTAGGTAGGATAGCTAGGAAGTAGGCACGCCTACGTATGTGAAAATACAATTATAATGAAATTTTATGTTTTAGAAGTAGATTAATTATTTAAAGGGTATTATATAAATTGGAGAATTTTGAGTTTCTTCTGTGTAGATGGAAAACTACCTACTAATAAATCTTTTATTTTATTTAAAATAAAGAACATATAATATATTCTAGTTTACTAAAATTAAACAAATCTATTCACAAACTTTAGTCCATATTAATGTATTTCTTTTTGGGAGTACTTAAGTATCTACTACATATTTAACTTCACATTTGATGATTTTAGTAAGTTTTATGACAGTTTGTATTTGTAATAAGTAGCTATGTATTAGAATCTTTTCTTTGTATACACACAGAGTTATTTCGAGTGAACGAATAAGAATGAGAACACAAGAATAGATAGAGGGAACAAGCAAGATGAATTCTTTTTATTTTTAATAAATACTATCCATCCCTTTTCATCAATGCATATCCTATAGTTACATTGTTATATATGTGATTGTATTGGTGAGTGAAAGAAATGAAAGGAACAGCGAACTTCACTCACTTCAGTAAAGTGTGAAACAGAGTTACATGATGAACAAATTATTCTTAAATTTTCATTTACATTGGCCAAATTTCGTTGTGTTGATTTTATAATCACGTTTTATTTATTGTATACATTATTAAGAATTTAATAATAAACATTAATTAAAAAGTTCCACGGGTAGACACATAGAGGTATCAATAGATTTACAGATTACCAGATAGTGTAGCTATTATATAGATAAATTGATCTACATTAATTTATCAACATATTTTATAATGTAATATACCCTAAATTTAATATAAATTTATTTACGTTATTACATTATAATGTATAATCTCATAAATTAATCATCTAACTCCCGAAAATAACTAACATTTTCCTTAAAGGGGGCGGCACTGTATTATAGTACAAAGACATATTCTACTTGGCATCTAGTTACCTATTATTCAGTGTCATGTCATAGCTGTCAACTACTGTCAGTCACTGTATTTAATTCTCGGCATAGATAAGATAGAGCACATTTTACATCAGTTTAATTTTGCCTGTTCTCGTATGTTCTCGTAAATATCGTTGTCTTGATTGGCACCCATATTTTGTGCCGGTACTAAATTCACATAAAACTAACATCGTTTTAAAAAATAACTTATTACCCAAAGCTGGTTAGCTTGCGACTCTCATTGAAACCTTTAAAGTTTTATCTGATATATAATATTTTAGTCATGGAAAAATCTTCAAATTTGGTTGTAGTAAGTCCAAATACAAAATATACTGAAGAGTTTATTTACTCGGATTATGAATATGAGGAAACTTTGGTGACTAAAAACGGCAATAAGTTAGTTGTGAGTATTAAAGTACAGATATAAAATTTAAAATTAGTCAGTTGAAAATTAAAATGATAAGCACAATTATTGATTTCTAATATTTACAAATAACTATGGTTATATTTAAAAATACTTATATATCTATATCCTGTCGGTTATTTGCTAATCCAACTGAAAGCAAAGTAATGCAATGTATTTACAAAAAATGACTATTTATAATTTTCTTGGTAATATTATAATATGGTATATATTTATAGGACAATATTTTCTATAATACACACATTTGCTTTTAAGAAACGATAAAATTTGTCTTATTAATATTGTTAACATTGCAACTGTCATAATATTGTCTAATAAACAAAAATATATTTCGATATTAATTATAATCTATGCAAGAAGTTCTAAATAATCAATGATAGTGTTTGAGTAATAAAATAGTTCAATAAATATCTTTAACATGCTATAATAATAAAAAAAAATAGAATGTAACCTTACAATATAATTTCACAGGCTAAACCTTACCAGAAATCTCTTAGCATCCGCACTACAAGGAAAGTTGGCAAAGTTGGTGTAATGCTGGTCGGCTGGGGTGGTAACAATGGGTCTACATTCACAGCAGGTGTATTGGCCAATCGTCACCAACTCTCATGGAATAATAAGAATGGGAAAATGGATCCTAATTGGTGAGTATCTTATTAATGGTGGTGTTAATTATGAGAAATTTGTATTTAATGAATTTTATTATTATTAAATGTACGTAAATATTGAGCGTATACTTATGTACAAGGCAATACAATTTCAAACTATGACATTGTTTCCGTCACAGTATAGGATGATGTTTGACAACCTCTGTGGTCTAGCGGGTTTCTCTACAAACAGCACACCACCTTACTTCTGATAGTTGCGGTGTAAAGGATGGAGACCAAGATGACGAGCAAAAAGTAAAACAGCACTGTTGTAGTTGAAGAATATTTTTGTATTAAATTGACTTATGTCATATAAAAACAATATAATATAAAAAATATAGACAATAAAAAAGGTATATAAAATAGTTTCCAACATGCGGGTTCGATACCTTGCATGGCACAAACATTTATATTCATGTGTATAATCCGATGAAAGATTTCTAGCTAGCTGAAACCTGGGGACCTTGTCGAAGGGTAGAGATCCTCCCATGCCTACTACCGACAACTCACCTGCTTATAGTACTGTTCACAGATACCCAACTACCAAAAAATAAAATGTATGATTTTCTGTATCAGTCTATGTATAATATGTGTGTTATTATAAAAATAAAAAATGTATTTGTATATATAGTGCTCATAACACAAGTTTTAACTAACTTAACTTGGATCTAGTGGCGCTGTGTGAATTATCCTGAGATTTTTATTATTAAATATCCTCAGGTCCACATAATAATATCTAAAATAGTATAAACAGTAATAATTAGAATTACCCTCAACAGGTTTGGTTCTATAACACAAGCATCCACTGTAAGGCTGGGCATTGATGAAGAAGGTCGAGATGTGTATGTGCCGATGTCACAGCTGCTGCCAATGGTTGATCCTGATGATTTAGGTTTGTTTCTTGTATAATGAGTTATTTCACTAAAAGGCTAATTTTGTTATTATACTATATTTAATAACTAAAATCTAAAAGGATATATTTGATATCTAGCTTGAACGGAGTGGTTTTATAATTATAATTTCCAAATATAAAACGGAGAAACAATCAAAAGCAAGCACTAAAGTAGTACCACAGATAACATAATGTAGTACCAAACATAATACTTAAAATATATAAGCGAAATAAATATATTCTACTTAACTAAAGTATGTAACTACAAAATAACAGTTTAAAAAATTTTATAATATCTCCTGAATCCTTAATATCATGATAATTAATAAAATTCAATAATCATTTATTCCTGTAGAACATTTTAGCCGCTTATGAACTTCAAGTTTTTACATTATATATATTTTTTTTCCTACCGTCCAGTTCGGTACGAAATGGAAAGAAACAAATGAATTTCAGTTTCAATAAACAAATAACAATAACTAGTCTATATTTATGTCAACGTGTTATAGATTTAACAGGTTGGCATAACATGTTAGTCTTAGAAATTCTAACACGTGAACATTAATTAGTGGCATTGTATTAAAGACCACCCGCGTCTCCCCTTCTTTCACGCTTACACCACCCATGCAATGCATATGCAATCCTTGGAGCATTAAAATATATCAGTATTTAGACATTATTATTTCTCGACCATATTCTACTACGCTTATTCTATCATTACCATTACCCGCTAATTACTAGTTAAGTCACAGCCATAGGTTGCCTGTAACTTCCAGAACCAAACGTGAACTTTTCTCTGAAAGAGATCTCTTCCGGCCTGGAAGAGATCTCTAACTTAAAGGTCCAGATCCTTAAGGTACCCTTAAGGTGGTAAAATAAAATAGGGGATGAAAGTGTGTATGGAAATTTGTCATTTTTTAAGCTATAATAATGAAACTTTTTCTGTGGCTATTTTGTGTTATTTTATTAAATATTTTTTATTTATTTGATCAGTCACTATTCCACGTGGACGAATCTGCAGGCACAGATAGTAAAGAGTATATATTATAATTTCCTTCTCATACCCTAAAATGTAGTATTTAGTACTAACGTGTTTCTTGTGTGTCCTTCTCATTTTGAAATTATTACGAACTGACGATAGATTTGACATATAAGAGTCTGTAAATAGGCCTACATGAAAATGTAGATATTTTGAATTTGAATATATTAATCTGTTCTATATTAATCTAGTAATCGACGGGTGGGACATCAGCCCTTTAAACCTGGCGGAGTCTATGGCAAGAGCTAAGGTGATAGACTATGACCTGCAGCAGAAGTTAAAAAAAGAAATGTCGGCAATGAAACCGCGGCCTGCTATATACGATCCCGACTTTATTGCAGCTAATCAGGTAAGATTGATACCAAAACTTTTCTGGTATTTATATTTTGTTTACTATATCTAATCTCGATCATAGGATAGAGTTTCGCCAACAGGATGAAATAGAAATAATCTTTATTAAAATAAACTTCATATAATCACTTATGAATAGTTACATTGTTTGGGTTTGTTGATTGATGATCACGACTTCTTGTCACGACATATTATAATTATAGTACCACTTCTCATATAATAGAGAAGTAGAGAAGAATCAATGGAGAATGATGATAAGGATGATAAATTCACCAGGAATTTATCATGATAGTTTCCAGGGGGAACCGCGTGGCAGTTAATCTGACAGGGTTGCTAAAACCTGACAGGATTGCTAAAGAAAGACATATTACTCAGACTCCGAATGAATGGAGGTAGAAACAGATGATTATGTGTTTTAACTAATTAGCGTGAGTCTTGTGAATTAACTCCTTTATAAACTAGATAGACATAGCATTTCATATACTAATCAAGTCACTGTACAATAAACCTTGTCGCGTGTTAAAAGAAGCAAGACATATTGAACCAGGAAATACATTATAATTACTCTATATTTATACAGTTTACATATAAATCCCGGAAAACTATTAAGTGTATGACTTTATACTACTCACTTTTTACAAATAATAGATACACTCCTTTAGACAAAGATTCATCATATATAACTGCGTATAAGTTAGATGTACTAAATCGAATTAGGTGTTATTTTGCGGAAGACACTTTCATTATTTGATGTATTTATATTGTTTTGTTTAATTCAGCTACCATTAGCATGTTTGAAATAAGATATGTCCAACTGAAAGCGTTACGACTTACTCTATTGGTGATCAAATTCCCTTAAAATTAATGTTGTAATGTAGATGTTGGTTCAGTAGTGGTCGGAAGTTGATCACTAATAGAGAGGGTCGTAACACTTCCAGTAGGTAAAGATTCCGCCATGAATATGTGTGATCTCACATATGCTATTGGTAGCGAAATTAAACAAAATAATATAAATCCATGAATGAAAGTTAGAGAAACTAAGTTGCCGAAGTAAACTTTGCTACCGTTCTTGCCTTTTGCATATTCTATCATGTCTATATTTCTGTTCTCAAAAAACTTGCTTTAGGAAGGCGCCAAGAAACGGCTGGCGCCTATTTTGACGTCGATATAAATGATAAATCGACAAACAGTTTTTGGTACGGTTAAATATGAATTCAGGACCTTTGGATATAAGAGTCGTGGTAATAAACCACTAGGACACTACGTCACTACGACTCGACTCTCTAAAAACTGATATAATTAATATCTAACAATGTTACGTCCATTAGTAATAATTTCTTAGATATGACGTACGTACATGTATTACTGTTTTATTTCATAATCAAGATTTCTTTCAATGAGCTTTTGTATATTATAAGAAGACTCATTCATATGTTTAATAGCAGGATAACAATACAGCCAGTCATTACAATTTTAATGAGCTATAAGGTTATCTGTTATAGCCTTCAAAACATTATTTATAAATCCACCAACAGATGAGCACTTTTGATGGGATGACTTATCATAAAATATAAATTTATATTTGTCAACTAGATGAGCACGTGACTTTATTTCCGTGGAATACGGTATAAAAATCTTTCTAACTAAAATATAAATAAATAAAATGAAAATGAAAAAAAAAATCTGTACTGATGTTGATGAAATATGTATGCTTGGGAGGTCTAAAAATAGGTTGTTATCATATATTAAAATAGGGTATTTTTATACCCCTAAGCGATAAGGGTGGTCCACCCCAAAATTATTTTGTTTTTTATTTTATGGTTCGACATTATGTAAAACATACTTACGTACAACTCTAAATTTTCATCCTTTTACCCATATTTTTTTAATAGAGATATTTATATGACAAGGCAACGTTTGCCGGAATAGCTAATAGACAATATATTTGTTTGTTTGTAAAATGATTATGATGAGAAATACAGACACACACAGATAAATTTAAAACGACGCTTGCCACAAAACAGTGAAAAATACGTCCAAACTGGTCAGGCTATTTTAGTCTAAGATTAACGCGCCGAAATGAATAGACGAATAGCCTCGGTGGTCTAGCGGTTTATGGTCGCAGGTTCGTGTATGTATATTGTCATACATATGAACAAACATAGCGGACTATACTATAGTATGATATTAAATACTATAGAAAATCGACGAGGAAAAATGTTAGTACACTTGATACGGGTTAGGGGAAGACCAAGGCACAGCTTCATCAAGCAAATTAAAGAGAGAATTGGAGTCGTGTTGTATCAACGTTTAAAGAGTATGATTGAAGATCCTGGAAAGCAAGAGCTCCACCGACAAGAGCGTCGTTCTTAAATTATGAATGAATGAATATTATTATATTGCCACTTATCATCAGGGGACGGCAGCTTGTTATCCACTTCACACACTTGTTATACACTTAGAGTATACATAAAAAGAAATGTTGCCCATAGAAAGGTCCAGAACATATGTTTCTTTAACTAGGAAAACACAAAACGTCAATCTCATATGTTTATGACGTATTTGCCTATCATAGTGTGCTATTACTATTTTTGGCATATTTGCTCTGTTATTTTCGTACGCGTCTGATCACTTCCTGGTACGCAGATTGAGGAAAAATAACTTTTTACCTATCGTAGGTACCTACAGATTGAGGTATGTTCCTCAATCTATTATTATATATAAATTCGAAAGTGTCTGTCAATCAGTTCGTTATATTATTAGGTCAAAACGATTGAATGGATTTTAATGACGATCTTTTTTATTTATGTAGTAGCTTAAGAGCTAGCGATTAAGTCCTGTTTTAACTATTTTATTGTTATTTTTTTAATTAAAGCTGCTTGAGTTACTTCTTTACTATAACATTGACTATCTGCGAGTGAAAGTCTCTTTATTATAATAATATTTTTTTTGTGTAATTTCCATAAGCAGTCAGTGAAAAGCTGTTCCTTTGGAATTATTGTACAAACAGCCATTTGAATTTTATGTCTTTGTATAGTAAGAGGTACTAGGGAGACATTTATCTCGAAAAAAAAATACTGGCGAATTTGTGGATAATACCTAATTTTACATATAAACGTAGGTATTAAATTTTTTGTTAATAATTTGTAGGCTGACCGAGCAACCAACTTGATCCGCGGTACCAAACATGAGCAGTACCTGCAAATCCGTGCTGACATTAAGGACTTCCGCGACAAGAAGAAGCTTGACAAAGTTATCGTGTTATGGACGGCCAACACTGAGCGGTGAGTTGTACACGTGTTTTTTTCTATGATGTTGTTCAAGAATATTGTTTTATATTTTTAATGCCTCCGAAGAAAGCACTTTCGCCTAAATAAAAATTTTAGATGTTTTAGAAGGCGGAATTTTGATTAGGATATCATATAAGTTCAACAAGGGATAGTGCGGTTTTTAAGCTTCTTCCAGCGTACATTTAAATTGTGGAATTAACTACTTGCCGACGTTTTCTCTAGAGACTACAGTATGGGGTTTCAAGCCGAGCATATTAAGGTTTGCCAACGCAGTGTTTCAGTCGTCCAGAGACTACCTCAACTGCTTATAATTTTGATGAAACTTTACAGTGATATAGCTTATACATCAGAATAACATATAGGCTATAAATTTCACGTGGGTGAAACCGCGGGCACAGCTAGTATTACTATATGTTAATGTTTTTGTAGATTCTGCGAGGTGCGTGATGGTGTTCACGACACTTCAGAGAACTTGGAGCGAGCGCTGCGCAGCAATGAGCCTGAGATATCACCCTCTATTATATTTGCATTGGCCGCCATAGACGAAGGGGTAACTATGCCAGTTTTATAAAATAGAATGGATAATTCTTTATTCAAATTAACTAAAATGTAAGCATTTTTTGAATAGACATACTTATTTTTTTTTTTACTCTCAACCGGAAAGCTGTCTCGTTAACAGAAGAACAAAAGAAGGACAGAAAGCAGCTCTTTTTAAATAATTGTTGTAACTTTATATTTTTGTATATGTGTACGAACTACTAATTAGAATAAAAATAATTAACTGGTTAGGTAACTAAAAAGATTAAATCAGTCACAGTGATTAGAGTAGACCAGTCTCTAAGCAGCTCTTTATGTATTTTATATTTATCCAGAACAATCATACATACAATACATAAGAAAATATATAATAATACATGTTATTGTCGCCAGTGTTGCTACATAAATGGCTCGCCACAAAACACATTGGTGCCAGGCGTGGTTCAGAGGGCAGAGAAGAACGGAGTGTACGTCGCGGGCGACGACTTCAAGTCCGGTCAGACCAAACTTAAGTCGGTGTTGGTCGACTTCCTAGTGTCAGCCGGTGAGTTTTTTTATGTAATTGAATGGTAACCATGCTGACAACCCACTTGCTGTTCTACTCTGGGACTAATTCCAATTTAATGACATTAAATTGCAAAGTTTCACACAATTTTGTTTTCTTAAATTTATGTATTCTTGAAAAATAAATTGTGTATGTCTATGTATTAATTATTCTATGTATTAATTCCCGTTTCATAGTCAATTAAAGAACTGACAGTCTTATGGATCTCAGACCTCTCAGATCTCCGTTTAATTTCTTATCAGTTCTTCTTAATTGAATCTGTAGACTGAACAGAACGGTAGGAAAAAAAAATTAATATAAATAATATAATAAAAAAATTCTATCTAATATTACAAAAAAATTGACGATCGTACATGACTAAAATGTCCTATATGAATAAATAATTTTTATTTGATACATTCAGTATATTCGAGAGGAGCTCCTTTCTCTCGACTTAAAAATTTGTTATATAAAGACTCAAAAATTTATTATGTAAACTGCCGCTTGTATACATGCATCATAGACATTGACTATCATGCGTCCACGGAATCCGTCTAGCGTCGCCCTTCCTAAGGACTGAGATGTACCCAGTAAACCTTTCTTTTCATAATTGTAGAATTGGGACTGGTCAGTATAAAAGTTTTATATGTTCATGCAGGATTGAAGCCCGTGTCTATTGTGAGCTACAATCACTTGGGCAACAACGATGGGAAGAATCTCTCTGCACCACAACAGTTTCGCTCTAAAGAGGTATGATTCCTTAATGACTTTTTTCTATCACATTTAGTACATAATATATATATACTACAAACAATATCACTGTAAATATAATGTAGAGTGCCTTTTGCATCGTCCGTTGAAGCTGTAAAGGCCAGCTGCGGCCAACAGCGTAGTAACAGCGTTAGAGTAGCCCGAAAAAAAGACTAATATATACATGTATATGTATATATTATGTCTGTATATGGACCTTATTTACATGGTGTAGTAAAATTAATATATAGACATCAGTTGGATATGACAACAATTTACATTTACAAGTTTAACTCAATAATTTCATGATGTGATTATAATGTCGTTAATATACTCATCGTTATACATTTTGGTAGGTATCGTATTTCCGATAATTGACCCACGTATCGTATATAACGTTATATGTTTTCGACAAAATACGGTATAGTATAAAGGGGAGTCCCACCCCTCACAGCTCTGAATGACAGCCATTTTTAAATTTAATATCTCGTGTTGTTACGAGTTCACTGCAACTAATTTTTTTCATGTTGTTGATGTATTCTTTGTGTATCGAAATACACACTGTATATTAAGTTTTTAACGTTGTTTATATATATTTATAATGGAGTAGTGGACTGGAACTAATTTTTTTCATGTTTTCATATTGCTGATATGTTATTGATAGTTGTCTATGGGGTGACACAGCTGCTAATAACACACTGTATATTAAGTTTTTACAGTTGCTTATATAAATAGAATAGTGATGTATAAATAATATATAGTTTATATACACACCGTCTCGACATAAGCAAACGTTTAATATATTAATAAATACATATTTTAAGTTTATTTAATCAGCAGAAAAAGAAGACATACTGCATCGACCCCAAATAAAAACTATAAATAACAAGGGCAAGGCAATAATGATTCTACGTTTATTTAATGCCACGTGGTTTAGACCAGTCTCTATAAGCAGCTTGTTAAAAATACTTTCTCTAGCTGCTGCAACAGCATTAGAGTAATCCGAAATAGACTAATACACACATAATATATACATATTCGACGACCTCGGTGGTCTAGTGGTCTAGCACACCTCTTTACGTCCGATGGTCGCGATTTCAATTCATTAAGGCATAATCACATGTATTTTGTTTATAAATATTCTTTATTGCACTTAAATACATTTGTAAGTATATTAATTGTGAGTATATTAACTAATGTTATCAAAGGAGGACTTATCTCTAAAAGTACCCATAACACAAGCTTTAGCTAGCTTAACTTGGGTCTAGGTGGCGCTGTGTGAATTGTCCTGAGATTATTATTATTTAGTATTATACAGGTATAAAAATTTAAATTTAATATTTCGTATTTTTACGAGTTCACTGGAACTAATTTTTTTCATGTTTTCATATTGCTGATATGTTATTGATAGTTGTCTATGGGGTGACACAGCTGCTAATAACACACTGTATATTAAGTTTTTACAGTTGCTTATATAAATAGAATAGTGATGTATAAATAATATATAGTTTATATTAACACCGTCTCGGCATAAGCAAACGTTGAATATATTAATAAATACATATTTTAAGTTTATTTAATCAGCAGAATAAGAGGACATACTGCATCGACCCCAAATAACAAGGGCAAGGCAATAATGATTCTACTACAACAATATTTATGTAATGCCACGTGGTTTAGACTACGCTAGCAGTTCATTACGATATCGAATCCTTACTAATTATAAAATTTCGATATTCTGTCTGCCTGACAGGTTATCTGTAAACTTGTCATTACTAAGAAACTGAAAAGATTTTGATGAAAGACGTGACGATTATATCAGCAGAATATAAGTTTTCTTTATGTTTGTTTTGGTCTGGGTGTTTTCTATGTACTATATTATGTATGTATTAACAAAAAATGTATCTAAGTATTTATATCAATTATATATGTAATGCCCATAACACAAGCTTTTTTTAGCTTAGGACTAGATAACTTTGTGTGAGTTGTCCGGGGATTTTAGATTTTATTATACTAACTACTTTTTTAACTTATAAGAGATTGCTTTCCTAAGACTTTTATAACGTTGTTAGCTCAATGCAATTTGCCATTTCTAGTAACTAAATCACTATGTCTTGTTTTTATTCCTATTTTGTTCTGTTTATATTTAATTTTTAAAAATATTCTATATCTATCTCTTATTCTTATTTTCTTATACACAGATAACGAAGAGCAACGTAGTCGACGATATGGTGGAAGCAAACTCCATACTGTACAAGCCTGACGAGAAGCCCGACCACGTGGTAGTCATTAAATACGTGCCATACGTTGGTGAGTTCTTTTTTTTAATGGATGATTATGGCGGGGCACTTGTGGAGGATGATAGGATGGACATGAGGTCAGGTCAGTTGGCACATCGTGTAATTACCAGGATCTTATCACGATGGTTCACGATGGGATCCACGCAGCTCAATCTGACATGGTATATTATTAGCAATGGGTTCATTAATACACATCAGTAACAACCTCATTTTCAATAAAAGAAATATTATTTTAATATGGAGGAAGGAATCAATATGGGAATAAAAATTACAAGAAGAAATTAAGATACGATCTTCAGCACTCTGATCCAGTTACTACACGCAACTCTAAGTATGTCGTCGCTCTACCTAGCTGCGGGGCGTCCTACACTACGTTTGCCAATTCGCGGTCTCCACTCTAGAACACGCCTACTCCAGCTAGCATCGGATCTGCGACAGATATGACCAGCCCACTGTCTCTTCAACTTACAGATACGAAGAGCTATGTCGCACAATTTAGTTCTCTGGCGAATTACTTCGTTCGGATTTTATCCCTCAGAGAAACTCCAAGCATAGCTCTTTCCATAGTTCGTTGGGCGACTTTGAGTCGGGGATCAGTCATATCGTCATGTATTTTATGTATAATAAAAATCAAGTATTTCTAATATATACATTTTTAAAAGTATTCATAAAGGAAATATATGTATAGTAATTACATTTATTATAGTAAATTGGAAAGTTTAGTAATAATTTAATAGAATAGATTTTTTAAGATAGATAGACAGATAAAAAGATCTTAAAAAAATTCTTTTAATTTATTGTTTTTATTAAAAGAACAATTTTATAAAGTACTAAATATATCAAATAATAACAACGCGTTCCAGTTTCATTATTTATATGTAACTAGCTACTCGCCCCGGCTTCGCACGGGTGTACATGTATTATATAAACCTTCCTCTTGTATCACTATCATCATCATCATCATCTGCTTCTTCCTTATCCCATTTATTTCTGGTCGGCGTAATATGTTTTTCTCTTCCATTCGTCCCTGTTCGTAGTCATCGCGTTATTTGTATCACACTATCTATTAAAAAAAAACCGCTTCAAAATCCGTTACATAGTTTTAAAGATTTAAGCATACAGAGCGATAGCGACTTTGTTTTGTACTATGTTGTAATTATGGTGATGAATGCACGTGTGCAGGTGACTCTAAGCGTGCGATGGACGAGTACACATCGGAGATAATGTTGCACGGCACCAACACGCTGGTGATCCACAACACGTGCGAGGACTCCCTGCTGGCAGTGCCCCTCATACTCGACCTGGTGCTCCTCTCGGAACTGTTCACACGGGTCAGCTTTAGACCAGACGAGAAACATGGTGAGTACTTATAATATGTATATATATATATATATATATTTTACAATACTTATTTATACACTATGATACAATAATATATTAAAAATGTAGCAGCAAAATACAGTAAATATTACCACGGGGGCTATTCCTAACACACTGCATTAAGCAATAGAAGAATTCAAATTAAATAAACAATTGTACATTTCACTACAGAAGGATGTTGTCTTAGATACAGGCCCAAAACCCTAAAAGAGAGGATGATAAGATGAGAATGATGTTAGGTCAGTTTGCCCATCGTGATTATATAACCACGGAACTAACCACGATGGTTTCTAGGGGAATCTCGTTGAAGTCGACCTAACATGGTTCATTGCTAGCAATGGGAACACTAGACTCCATTACTAACAATTCCCTTCGTCCTTGGCCCGCAGTCCTTGGTCCAATTCAAACGGGGATCGATATTACGACGACCTGAGCCGAGGTTCGAACCCCTAGCGGTGTCCTCAGACTGAAGTCTCCATAAGTCCTTCCGAGGGTTTGGAGTGCCATCTGCACTCGGCCTCTATCGTCCGGTAAAGCTGCAATGACCAGCTGCGGCCGACAGCATTAGAGTATTAAAAAAAAAATGTTGGCCCGCAGCGTGGTCGGGCCTGCACACGGTGCTGTCGCCGCTGTCGTACCTGCTGAAGGCCCCGGCCGTGCCGGCGGGCGCGCCCGTCGTCAACGCTCTGTTCAAGCAGCGCGCTGCCCTCGATGGATTGCTGCGAGCCTGTCTTGGGCTGCCGGTGCATCAGCTGCAACTTGAACATAGGGTACGTTCTATACAGCTCTAACATACAATATACAGCCTGATTTCTTTATGACCATAGAGTATGTTCCATACGGGATGTTTTGTTTTACATCATGCAAATAAAATGTAGTATTATAGTTAGATGGAGGCGTTTCGATTGATATAAAGACATTCAATATCTCGTTTGCTCGCTCCTCGGTCTGGGTGTTGTATGTATATAAAATGTATCTGTTGTCCAGTACCCATAACACAAGTTCTGCTTAACTTTTGATTAGATGGCTGTGTGAATTGTCCATGGTTATTATTATTATTAAATGTCTTATGTTACTTTAGTAATTTAGTGATATACAAATGGATGGTATAATATGATTATTCCATTATGCATTGATAACTGTCAATACTCAAAATAGTATTAACATCGTTATATGTATAGCTATGACGCGCTCATCATCCTTTTGCGGCTGCGCGCCGTATTGTGCATCTGTGGGGCATTACGTTTGCGCGGGAAAGTGACAATACTACAAAAATGGCTTTTTCTCTTCATTATTATTTATACTATTTACGTCTGCAATATACTTTTATAATAATAAAATATCTATATACCCAACAAACCTGAATATAAATACAGCCCCTAGTAACATACCTTACTATAACCATACTTTCATATGATTACATAATATGTATTATATTATATTGTAAAATAATAATAATGCAATAAACAAGACTTCGAAGTGAAATTTTGTGTGCACAGATGTTATTCTAGTAGATGTATGTTGAGATGTTTGTATGCGTAATGCTCTATCGTATAAAGTCAATGACGACATGGTGTCATGGCGGATTTTGTACGCTTGAATTGAGTAAATTACATAATGAAATTGTTATTCACGTATATTTTATATACAGCGTGGTCTGATCTAGAAATACATTTTTTACTTCATACTTTTTAATGCAGTTTTCAGCAATAGATACAGTGATTCAAGGAAAAGGTTTATAGAAGGTTGTAGAATACATGCATGTTATAGTATAGAATAATATAATCAGAGAAATTCAAAGATTTGTAATCCGTCCGTGCGAAACTGGGTCAGCTAGTGTGATATAAATTTTAAAATTGTTCCATTGATTATGGGTAACTAATAGGAAATTGCGTCAGTGAAAGAAATTTGCAGATGAAAAATTAAATATTCCCCATTTAATTTAGTTGGTAATAAAATATGTGGCATTTATATACTGCAGGTTCCGTTTTTGATGTCGGAGCTACGTTCGGGCAGGATGTTTGGAGCTTCGCCTCCTACGAAGAAGCAGAAATTGGCTCACGCCAACGGCGACCAGTAACTCTCTACAACACTACCGTCTCTACAATCGAGAAGTCCAATGTAGCATCACATAACTTCCCTCCTCCCCAGTTTACGTAAGGTTTAGTAGTGTATAATAATTATACAAGAGCCATAGCTATAATCACTTTGAAACGGTAACAAATAAGTCATAATTAAAATTTATTCAAGATATTGTTCAATAATGAAATGAAGTAATATGAGTAAACAAATACAGACGTTGTTACACTGGACTTATGTGCCATTTTGGATAGAACGCCGTTATCTCTTACATTTTACATGATTTTAAAATTCTGTATAGTTTGCAACATAATAGTGTCTATAATTTTAATATGAATCTCCAATCAAGTATTCCTTTTAAATTCTGTGACGTCACAATTAATCTATAAAGCTACTATTCTACTTTCTACCAAAACTTCAATCAAGTATTCATTTTAAATTTTGTGACTTCACAATTAATCTTTAAAGCTACTATTCTACTTTCTACCAAAACTTCAATCAAGTATTCCTTTTAAATTCTGTGACGTCACAATTAATCTATAAAGCTACTATTCTACTTTCTACCAAAATGGCGTCTCTTTTATTATTTTATTTGATGTTATGGCTATAGATTGTTAACTTCTGTTTATTTTAATTTGAGTTTTGTTGTTGTCAATTAAGTTTTCAATTTTAATCCTAATTTTAAGTGCCCAATAATGGTGGTAAACTTACGAGCGATTATTACTGGTCTTTTTGCATTTAGGTATTACTTTACTACATGTATTAACTATGAAATGAATATGCGCATTTCTAGTATTATTTCAGTATACTGTTATAATAAAGGATTATTATGTAGATGTATGGTAAGTTAGAGATTCAGAATCTCGAATAGTATTGGTTATTTTCTGAAAAGAAAAATGAAATATTATGTGGTCGAAGAAGAGTAAACTTATTAATTTCATAAACACAAAATTCAAATCACAATAATTATATATTTTGTTTTTTTAATGGTTTTAGTTACATTTAGTTGTACTTAAGTTGTGTATACGATACACATACACATTCCGCAATATATATATTATATACACTTTGTTTTATATGATTCAAATGATGGTATGACCATGATAAATACAAACAATATTCTTATAACTTAACTGCCAATACATTAAACATGAAATGTACTTATGTTATACTTGTATATTAAGAAATTGCATCAATCAACCGACTTCAAAAATAGGACGTTCTCGATTTGAGTGTAATTGTTTTATGTGTTAACTCATAACTTTTTTCTGTGTGAACCAATTTTATATATTTTTTTTGGAAGCTGGTGCTTCTGATATAAATGTAAATTTTATTATTACTTGACAATAGTGTTTGAGTTGATGATATTCAATCGAAGACGGTTTTTTTTGTAGTTTATATTAATCTCCATATACTACGATTATACCCATATCAATATTGAGATGTAGGCAGATAAAATACAGTATTTATTAAATATATTTCGTATTATCAATTTAATTATTCCATTTCGCTAATTTCCCAGTATTGTTTACAGCATTAAACACCTCCTTATGAAGCCTCCATTTATGAGGTCGTGTTTACAATGCTTTATAAAATTATGATGTCTATAATCTACTTTCAGTTCTGTGATGACTTTTGTGATTATAAAATTATGTATTTGGACCATAGGTTTCCTTTTGTTATTATTGAGTTAAGCTGCTTAACTAAATGACAATATGTTTGTTTTTTGTTTTGTCCTCTGGTATTGAATTCTGTAATGTTTTATTTTTATTGTTAATGAATAATTTCTGACACCCATATTAGTACCCTAAATGTAGTATTTTAATAATTTTGATTGAAATTTAAATAAGAAAAAAATCTGTAGATAGATGCTTATATGTCGTATAAATGAGTATTAATATTTTGTGCATGTATTCATCAAATGCGTAATGAATAAGAATATTAAGAATCTCCTGCAAAAAAATGTAATATCACGTGGCAAATGAATTCAGACCTATATCGCAGATTAATAAAAGCTCTCGAATCATATTACTTAAGGAGTTTTGTACTCTATGCAATTTCTGCCCAAGGTTCATTCTTTAGATCACACCTAGTTGACCTAGTATACTTACTAGTGTGGGACTGTTTAGTGAAATAAAGTATTTTTGAATAAATTTACAATGTATTTACGGACCATTTATTCTATATTAGGGTACTCCCGCACTTATACTCCTTAGTGCTGTAACATCATACGAAATGTAACGAGTCTCACTCGCTAATTATATGCATGTTTTATTTTTTATATAGGATAATTTTTATCAGTACATATTTTTATTGCTAATATGAATAAATATTCATAATTTAACTAGCATCATATGAAAAATGTGTATTTGATAAATATTGAACCCTGTATACATATGTGTTAATTATATAAATACCTATTACAAGGTACATTCTATCGACTTATCTTTCTTGTTTTGAAATGTTTTTCAAATCAAGAAAGTGGTATTGTCATGTGTGCTTAGAAATCGGGCTTGTAATGATCTTAGATTACTATGTGCATTAAAGTTGAAATAAACTTTGTAATTGGACGTGTTTTTTTATTTATCTTACATCCTGCATTATATCCTAGTTCCTACCGATCCTACCCGACTTAGTAATTGGTATGTTTAAAATACATCAAAATTACTAGTATCCATTAAGTAATAATATTCCTCACCTTGTCAGCCTTGACACCAACCTGTATCGAAATCTATACTAGAGGATTCAGTATAAAGTATCTAATATTTTAAATATTCTTAGCTTTCTAAAACAACGAATGCCTGCCTTATATTGAATACTAGCTGTTCCCGCAACTTCATCCGCGTGGAAATTACCTTTATTTTTAAAATGAAAGATTTTTTCTAAAATAAAAGTAGCCTAAGTTACTCCTTATTACATCAGCTACTTGCCAAAAAAAGTCCCGTCAAAATCGGTCCAGCCATTTCTGAGATTAGCCGGAACAAACAGAACCGACAAAAATTAAAAAAAATGTTATTTTGATGGATGTACTGTATTTATATTCATATGCAAGTATTAAAAAACAGTTATTTCAATATTACAGACACTGCAATTTTATTTATATGTTAGTTAGTTTATTTGTAGTTTAATCTTTCTAACTTGTGTACACTGAGTAATTATTTGCAATTATAGGTAGGTACCTAACAACCTAAACATACTACATTCGTTAGAGACCAGTTTAATGAAGAGAGCGTGGCCTCTAAGTTATGCGTGGTCAACTTAAATGCGCTAATTACGCATAGTATTTCTGTTTGCCTGGTACTGTGCAATCACAAAACTAAATTTGTCTACCTCATATTAATCAATTTGTCTTACTCACGCATGGGCAGCTTCTTTGAATGCCCGTTAGCCTAATAGTATCACAAACTAAATTTATCTCATTTAATCAATTTGACAGGCATTGCATTCTCCTTGAATTTCTGTTATAATAGAGTATATTATAAAATAAATTTCGTCATACAAAAATGAAGTAAGAGCAGTTTCTTGTTAGATATTCTGTTCAAAACCTCATTCAGAATCGATGGAAGTCTTATCGTTAACAGATTTTTGGTTTGAGCTGAATGATTTTACTGAAAAAATAATGCACGCATTTGTCTAAATAGTAATAATATAATATAATACTAACATGTAGCGTAATTCAGGGAAAGAGAGGGTAGTTATAATAGAATGTAGAATAAAAAAAACAAACCTTCGGATTAATCTTTCTTTATTTTCAGTTAAGCATAGAATAGTACAGTATCTCAATATCTCCCAGTCTAATTTGACAAGTCGCAAACACGCCTCCCACACTGTTCTCATTAAATCATGGCATAACGGTGTACGCAAACGGTCGACATCCAAATCCATAACCAATCATTACTGTTTATAGAAAGACCGTATTTTGAAGAATCTTTTTATTTAATAGGTTTTACATTTAGTACAGTTTTACATTAAAAAGTCGAAAAAACACTTCAGATTACAGAAACAATAGAAAATTTCAACAGACTCTGTTTAAAATTTAAATAAGTTATTTTTCATTACAGATACATATATATGATGTACACAATCTTATATAAAAAAAAATATCAAAAACATACCATCCAATAAAAAAATGCGCGATTATATATTTGGACGGCGTACGTTTAACTGCATTGTTTATGCCAGACTTAAGTAACTTATTGGTGTTTCACATACACAAATGTACAGTCAAAAATTATATAAACGAGTAATACAATAAGTAAAACGTTTGGTTCCTCCAATGCAACTTATGTGATACAACTAAATAATACACTTACAACTAAATACATGGTTTGTTCTGCGGTGTTACTCATCAACGACTCTACACAACATTAGTTACTTGTCATGCTGTTAGTACAATTTTAAATATAGGTAATACATTTTTTGGTAATAAAGAGAATGTCGATCTCAAACTTAACATTTTATAATGCCGTTGCAACAGTTTAATGCTGGTCGAAAACAGTATATGTACGTTAATATTTTAAACAAATCTTTCTGTTATTTTAGCTATGTTTAATCATGTTAATGTAGAAGATTACGTTTAAATTGAAAATGTTTTTAATACTCCATTCGTCTTCTAATAAAATACTCAATAACAGTTGGAAATCGATAAGTAGGAAGGTCGTACCATTTCTAATAGTGGTCAGACCTCTGTACTAAATATCTGTGGTCTTACATAGTAATAATACCGAAATTATACAAAATAATATCAAAGCCTTAATTAATACTATTGTCTTCGACATAAATATCGCAAACTTGACAATTAATCGTATAACCATAAGTGTCATAATTGCTCAAACACATAGGTAATAATAATATTATGTAGTTAAAAATTTTATAGAACATTTATTTATTTTAATCTACTCGGCTTTACAAAACTGCATTACAAATGTTTGAATTTTCGGCTCGTTCTATACTATAACACGTATGTATTATACATAAGAACTTTTCTCTTGAATCACTCGAAAACAGCATTAAAATCTGTTGTCTAATTTATAAGCGAACAGAGAGCGGCAGCGACTTTCTTGTATACTAAATAAAGATATTATTTATGGCAATAATGTCATTAAAAGTCATAATTATCTAAATTACAGACTTCTATTCCAATAATAATACATAGAGCAGTTAATTCAGATTGCGTGTCGTCAACTATACAATGATGGCTATTTACATTTATCTTAAACTTGACCTGTATTCGAGAAGCATTCTCTATACTTCCCTGCAATCGAACTTTTGACCACTGCGTAGCCTTCACAACGCTATCTTAATGTGTATTATGAATACTCTCATTAATAAACAAATTGAACTTAAAGTAGATAACGTTGTATTTGAACATACAACTTAATTGTATGAACCATTTTCAACCAGCATTGTATACGATAAAACATTATGAATTAATCATTCATGCAACACTGTGATGTCACTGTCAGCCATAAATAACGATAAATCAACACCACAATTCTCAGATATATTGAATATTAACTTAAATACACCTAAAGCGATAATAGTACCAAATACTGTCTCTTATATTTAATTTAATACTTAAAATAAATAATACAAAACAATTCCTAAACAGGCTCCGACGCTACAACAGACGACGCCAACAATAGAATATATCAGACAGCGTGCGGTCTATCAACGATATTTTTTTACCACACAAATAAAAAATTAAGATAACATAATACAAAGTTTCTTTTTAATTTGTGTGGTACAACAAAATATGTTTCTTTGGACCGCACCTTTATAAAGAACATTTTAAATGGGCAACACATCAATAAAATACGTTAATAAGGGAACCACAACATGAATATACAGTAAAGTCAGGGTTAAGAGCGTTCATACTGAAATTTGGCAAAGTTTATGATGTACAATATTTCTGAATTATTTGTTAAAAAGGAAATGAAACCCTAACAAGGGGGTATAAGATTCATATTAACCTATCAGTGATATTTTAGTTTTTTATAAAACTGTTAAGAAATTCCAAAAATAAAATATTATCGTTTACTGGTATATTAAACAATATGTATTTGTTGTTCATTTATGTGTAACTTTTATGATTGCCGTTTTCGTTTGCTTTCCAAATAATGTTTTAGAAATACATAAAGTTGATGCAATGTAACCTTTGCCAGATTTTGGTGTGAACACTTTTAATAATATAAAATACAAATTGTAATTCCTGTCCTCAACAATGTACTTATACGCGAATTGAATAAGAGCATTCTTTTTACATTTTCGTATGTCAAAGCCGACTTGAGGTCCGACAGCAAAGAAACACGTCGCGGAAATATTCAGCGGAGAACGACGCGCGCGTGTGACAACACTATAATACCGGTGCAAAATGTCTAAGATAGGTACTACACACTATTTAGAATAGTTCGTGGACACTTGAGCTCAGTCGGCGCCCGCGCACCGCCACCTATATCCTTTACGACAATTTTTTTTATATAATAAGTCTTTTTTTCTACATTTAACAATAATTTGTTATAATAATTTATAACCGATGTATTTTACGAGTTATATGTTTAAGTATAATTTACACGATTTTAAATTTGTTTCAGTGCTCAATATTATATATTTTTATAAAATTCGTTGGCTACCTAAACGAGTGGTGTACCTAAATGAAAGACAACAGGATCTACAATAGGGAATGGAATATACTATACACTTGGTGGCATTAAAAACTGCCCATTAACATATTGCTAACCATTAAAAGCACAATCAAACGACGAATTGTCGATCGGGCATCGTACAATTACATTTAAGATACGTGGGCTTCTTTTAATGCCACAAATGCATTACAATGGCATATCAGCGTCGCGTGTCACTTACAGACACTATAATTACAATAATTATAAGCTACACTGTGTAATTTAAATACATGTATCGTTAAAATGGGAACACGACATATTAAATAAATTAATACAAGTGACACGCGACCGAACGCCGAGAGTATGTAGCTACGAAACTAGCTTATATCTAGGCGTCTAGGGAATACACTACATTTGGATAAGGGCTTTTATATACGCTCCTCGGGCCATGTCGGCCAAAATGTCTACATTTAATTCCTTACGTGCCTTTCATTGAGCAGTTCACCTGTCTCTGTATCCACATATATTACTACAATTTAATTTTATTGCTCGAAATAATAATGACAGATTCAACACTGCGCCGGCACGCATGCGATGCGTCCGACGCACACGCAACGTACAACTCACATACTCAACATTACAAATCCGAAACCTTTCTCACAGAAAGGATAGATAGAGGCTACAATAGTTTCAAAAATATTAAGTCTTAGATTATATTATATTCATTTGATTAATTCCCATTGTTATTTATGTACATACGAAGCGTTTCGTGGCGAACTCGGCGCTTCGAACTAAGTGATCTAATTATAATAGGAAAGGTGTGACGCCGTCGAATTACGATTGCTGCTCGCTACCTAACGACCAAGCGTTATACAATTCATATTTAGACATGCGTTACGAGCACCAAACTTGGCTGAAACAATGCGTGTCATAATCAATTCCACAATTGAGATAGAAAACTTGATTGGCGCGCAGTGAAGCCGCACCGAAATATAGTCTAAATACTAACGTTCCTTTTTTAATCTAACCGTATTTAATGAGCATTTCACAAATGCTTATAAAATTATATGAGTGCAGTTTTATTTCACGCATGTGTAAATTATACTGAACGATAGAAGAAGTATATACATTATATTCATTCAGTTTTGACAGTAGAATTAAAATGGAATGAAAATCAAATGTTTAATATATATAATTATATCTGATCAAGCTAAAAGTAGTGCAATATCATCTTTGTAAAAATACATGTGTTCTATATAATATAATTTACTTTAAAATATACATATTATTCTAAATTAATTAGAGAGGAGATTATATGGTGTCATTCCTGTCTAATCACATAAGTGTGAAAGGGACGACACTAATTACGTATACTCTCAAATTAATTTAGCTACAAGCAACAGACTTAGCACAAATGTGCAATTTACCAGAATCTGTAATTCGGCGTTTAATTGCAATAAAATATCTAACGGAATAAAAGCACCATTAAAATACGTTCGGTATACAATATTTCTTGGAAGCCAATTATAGATTACAGTGTACAAATGGAATGAAAACAATTTTTTACGTCAAATAGACGATGTTATTTCACAATTGACCTTATATTATAACCATTACGGTTTGTTTTACATAAGCGATAATTAGTATGGTAGATGTTTGATCACACTGGAATGTCACCTTCCATTATTGAATTTTCAAACAGTTCTTTTTTCAAAAACTATTTTAATGTCAGAATTTTCAATCGTAATATTTAAAAGAGTCAACAAAATGCTAGTAGAAAATTGCATTTCTTTTTAGTAGCCATTAAAAGGAAGCAATTGAAGTTTAGGAATGAATGATAAGTATGGAGATACCAACATAATTTATAGGTATCCAATATTCATTTATTTTGTGAATTTATTTTTATTATAAATTGTGTACTTAGCGATAAAATATAATAAATCGTATGATAAAATTTTCTATTATTGAGGAAAGATTGAAAATTAATCAAATGGTTGAATAAAACACATATAAAATACCTAATATTTAGAGTACCTAGTGATTTACATGTCTGTCACCCGCGCCATGTTTTACATATAGCTTCATATATATACTAATTTATGTACATGTGACCGGCACCACGATGTAACGCGAAGTATAGTTCGAGTATATTATGTAGTGGTTGTTTTTTTTTAAATTTCATGAGCCCCGTCCTCGTTATTTGATATACATTCCGCACGCTTAATACCAAATTGCATAAATAAATGAAATATTTAAAACGGGAAATCAATCTTTTAGTCAAAGCTATAAAGATAATGTCCCAAAAAACGATTATAGTTAGAACAACTTGCATACCAAGTTGCGTTAAAACAGAAAATAAAATATTAGAAAATCGACCTTATAGTTGAAAGTCTTTACGACGATTTTCCAAAAAATGTTTTATGCGATTTAAAGCAACTATTATATTGCGAACTATGAAAATAAAATATTGTAAAATCGGCCTTATAAACAGACAATTATAGATTATATCCTAATATTTTTTTATGCGTTAAATCAATTGCCAAAAATTGCATTTAGTGAAAACTAAAATATTGAAAAATCGATTTTAAAGGCAAAGGAATAAAGTCGATTTTCGAAAACTATAATTTTGATTGAATCCCTTTAATAACTAAGCGTGTCATTTGTATTTAGAATTTCTCCGTTTTATGTGTGACTTTGTAGGTGAGCGTGTTTGGCGCGTGCGGAGGTGCGGGCTAGTGTTTGTTCCGTCGTCAGTTAAGCGGCAAGCAGAACATGTGTTGGAGCAACGTGGGCTTCCTTGGCGGTAGTTCCGAGCACACCGAGTCGTAGTCCGACGATGACGACTCCGCACCCACGCCGTACCCGTACGCCTGCCACCATTCAGATACACTCAATAATAGTACCCTCAGTAACAACATTTAAAAATAACAGAATACAAATAAATTAATTGTAGAATGGCAGACATATCCCAGATAAGGACTTTCTTGTTTTATTTTTTGTTCACTCTTTCGCGCGTTATTGCGCGTATGATTCATATCATTTACGTCTTAAAATTTCATGTTTTGTTTTCCATAGACACGTTTAAAAACTATAATTATGTTTTTGTTCCATGTCAGATGTCCGCAGGAATGCGCGAGCTGGCGGCTTACACAGTCTTTCTCGTTCTCTTTGTATAAATTTACAATTTTTCCTGCGTGAATCTTTCAAAATATTTGCGCGTGAAAGAGTAATTTGTACAAAATCGTATTGTGAGAACGCTGATGGTAAGTGGTGGTAAGTACCTGCAAGGGATCGTGGTAGGGATGCAGCAGACAGGCGTGTTGTCACACGCAGTCCTCCAGCGACATCAGAAGCGGGTTCACGTATTCGAAACCTTCGAACTCCGACTGGTCGATGTCCGCAATCACAGTGCTGTTGAATTTAACAAATATTATTATAAACTAGCTTCAGCACTCGACTTAATAAATAAGTGAACACTACAAGTAATGCAAGGTGATTTCGAAGAATCTAGGAAATACTGACTCATTGTCAGGCGTGAGGTGAACCGGCTCGTCGGTGAACTCCGGCGGGAAGTTGGCGAGGTCCCGCTCGCCCTCCAGGCGCGGCTTGAACGGGGGCACCACCTGCTTCTGCTCCAGCTGAAACACACGTCTCCCGTTTAACTAACTTGTTAGCTAATATATAAATTTAGAAAATTCATTTGACTAGTGTACTTCAGGTCATGATGTCTTAATATAACGCCGAAGTTATCATTTAAATAAAAAATCGTGCACTAACTGGACTGCAGACTTGCATGGTCACCATCCAATCCGATTATACTACACTTACAGATTGTGGATATAAAAAGAACAAAAAAAAAATACATTTGAGTAATTTATAGATTCAGACGATATTTGCATGACTACCGTCGTGTCCCCACCAATACCACTATAAGGATGGGAAGGAGAAATACAGCTTTTTTCCACCGGTGCCCCGGTCTCCTCTCCTCCAATCATTCCCCCGTCCAATTCAAACGGGGATTAGAATAACGAGCCAAACTTCGAACCCCTAGCTGTGTCCTCAGACTAAAATCGTTTCCGTCAGGCAGGAGTTGGCAGTTAAGTTTGATGATAATTGTCGGTCATAATAAAAATGTATTGTAAGCATACGACATCTCTAGAGGTTTTGTTGACCCTTTCACATGGTAGCGGGTCAAAACAAAAACATTTGTAATCAAAGATTATTTGTATCGGTCTGGGTGTTTTCTATGTATATAATTTATACACTTACAAAATATCTTAGTATTTATATCAGATAACACAGGCTGTTTACAGAGATTTGACTTTTTCCAAAATAAAATGTATTAAAATTAGATAATAGATAATGCCAGCACAAAAACATAACAAAATGAAAAGAACGTTAAGTAAGACGGTATGTATACATATTATATGCATAGTACATGACAAAACTAACCATTTCCCACTCGATACTCTTAAAGAACGGGTGACTGATGATATCCAGGAAACCATTCTCTCCGCAGCCCAGCCGCTCCACCGGGTTCTTGTTGAGGAAGCCCTTCAGCACCGAGGCCGCCTTCACGGACAGCGAGCGGGGTATACGGATCGTCTTCTCTAGGATCACCTGCGAAATATACCATCACAATCATTAGTGCTGTATTGCATATATACAAGCATACGTTCATCTTATCCATCTGTTGGTAAATAGCGTAGCCTTAGGCGTATGGAGGCTTGTCACATGCGCGTTGCCGACCCTTAAGAAACCTTAAAACACCTTTCTTGAAAAACCGTATCGTGTATAAGTAAAAATCGTGTATAAGAAAAGTAGTATCGTGAGAAATAATGGTTTTATTTGGGGTCGGCGCTGTTTTTTAATTTTTTTCTACCCATTCCTACCAGCCGTCAAAAAAGTAAGTTCAGATAACTCACTTTATTTATGATATATAAAGATATGTATACATAATATTATGCATTTTTCACAAAGTCAATCTTTTTTTCGGACGAAGAAAAGGACTGTGTGAAAGAATTGTCTCCCTCAACACCCATCCATGAATACGCGAAGCAAAAACCTTGTATCCCCCTTTTAAAGGAAAATCGGGTGAAATTATATATCGAGTATCTTTGCATCCTCTGAGGTTGGCTGGTAGAGAATGATAATAGCATAAATCCGCCTATCGTACAAAATTCAATAAAGTTTAAATAAATAAACGACGCAATCACCTGGAAGAGATAGTCCTCTGTGTTCTGGTCGGGGTTGTCTGCGGCCTGTGCGATGTCGAAGGGCGACCGTCCGGCGAGCATCTCGTAAGTGAGCACGCCCAGCGCCCACCAGTCCACCGAGAACCCGTACTCCTCGCCGCGCAGGATCTCCGGCGCGATGTAGTTGGGCGTGCCGCAGAATGTCGACGTCGTGTCCCCGGGACGCACGCCTTCCTGCAATCGTTACGACCACATGAGCACGCAACTTCGTAGTTTGTTTTATATTACCACGGTGAGCTTACGGGTCATCTTTTTATACTATAATGTTCACAAACAAGCATACGATACATAGTGATAGTCAAGTTATGGACACCTAAAACAGCAGGTTTGTCAGGCGCGCGTTGCCGACCCTTAAGAAACTAATCCAAAACCAATTTTTAAAAACCTCACTCAGAAACCATCTAGGTACCGGAGTGGGGATATGAAGTCCATGTCGATGGTGAGCGATTCGATGGTAAAAGGATGATTTCTTTGGATTTGTCATCGTTAGAACGTAATATGAAATTAATAAGAATTAACGTATATGTAATAGCACAGAAATACAACTGCTTTCGTTATGTAGTTTTAATCCCAATAAAAATAGAAACTAGAATAGAATAATCGTAACCGTTAATACTGCTCTAACATATTTCTTCAAATTCTTTTGATTTAAAAACCAAGCTTAACTTCATTTTTTTAAATAAATCTAACACACTTTTTTATAACTGGGACCTAATTTACATCCTTGCATTGTACCTTGCACATGCCGTAATCGGTGAGTTTGATGTGGCCTTCGTGGTCGAGCAGGACGTTGTCCAGCTTCAAGTCCCGGTAGATGACGCCGCGCTCGTGCAGGAAGTGCAGCGCGAGCGAGATCTCCGCCGCGTAGAACCGCGCGTGCTCCTCCGGCAGCCGCCGTTGCCGCTGCATGTGGAACCTGACAATATCACAGTATTACATTACCTTAGTAGTAGTACTTTAAGAAACACTAAATTAATGTATATTTTGATGTACGTTTCACATCTGGTGTATTCTTAACCTGGTAACCGAGCGGGATGTATAAATACGACAAACGTAAACACTAGCGCGTACGGACTGAAATTTATGTTGCGCCCTGGAACCTGAAACGAGTGGGACATAGCTTCGTACAACAAAGTTTTTGTACTTAAACTTATAGGGAAATGTTTTCCTTTATATATATATACATATATTTCATATCAAAAATATATATATGAAGTTATGTTGTGGTGCGACATACTAATTCGTCTTAGAGAAAGAGTTCGCTTCCGTTATATGCTGCGTAATTAAACAAGGACTTCCCCGGTTAACTGGTAAATATTTTAATTCAAAAATACACAAAAAAATTTGAAATATTTTCGTTTATTATGGAATTGGTCATATATTGGCGAACTGTGGTAGTAAAATCGAGAGTTTACCGTCATATTCTTGTTTTAATAAATTATAAATTTGAATATTCACATTTGCGGGGTATTCGTGACGGTCTACTTTTTTGTTCCTCCACAAAATTGTTTATGACAATCATTGCTTATGGACATGAACTGCATTAGGGTCATCAAAAAATAAACTGCTGATTCCTGTGGTATACCACATACCCTTTTTACTGTTTTCAAAGCGAAATACAATTTACGAAGCTGTTTGGCAGTAAAATAAACTACCTATACTGATGACTAAAGTCTTTAACTTTGGACAAAGTCAGATGATATTGTCCAAAGTTTGTCTCTGTAAAAATTCCCCAAAGAAGAATGAATACTTACATGAGATCTCCTCCCCTAACGAACTCGATGACAAAGAACAGACGGCTGGGCGTCTGGAAGCACGAGTGGAGCCCGACCAGGAACGGATGATTGGAGGCGGTCTCGAACACGTGTTTCTCCGTCTGTACCCAGTCTATGTCCTCGTCGTCCGTCACTAGAGCCTTTTTGATCACTTTCATCGCATACACACGTTTCGTTCTCTTCAATTCTACCATTAACACCTGAAATAGTATGAACAAGCAATAATTAAAAATCTTGTTTTAAACTTTTATTCGCTTTTATTTAGAATTGTACACTTTACATAGCATATATAGAATTTCTCTGTGACAATCGGAAGTAATATATTTGCGCACCTTAGCATAGGAGCCTCTACCGATGACCCTGATAAGTTCGAAGTCTTCCAGCGAGTACTGCCGCTGTGAGCCCGGCTCCAGGTCCTCGGGCCGCACCGGGGCGGGCGGCGCCGGCGCCGGCGGGGTCTCCGGCAGCGGTGGCTCGGGCTCCGCACGTGATCTGCCACCGAGACGAAAAGCCGTTTAGAAAAATCATTCATATTAGCGTGGAATTCAGATGAAATTTGGGGACATGAATATAGTTGCTGAAATTGGTGTGCCGTACACTAATTTCAGAACTTTTATCCTCCTATCATGCGATAGCTGGGCACATATTAATAGTTAAAATATCGTATTTAAACAAACCATAAATAAAGTCCAGAGAAACTTTGTAGAGTTGGACGAGTTCTAGGTTTCATGATTTTAAACAGGAATTTTCTGACTCCTCTAAACCCTTGACATAATGTAAAATTTTGTTGACCCCACTCCCTCTCAATTTGTGACGTAATAATTTATGAACTATGTATATCAATCACATAGTTTATTTATTTGCTTCTATAAGCAAAGGGGATTGTTAGTAATGTGGACTAATGTATAATGTTAGGTCTACCTCCATGCGGTTTCCTCTAGAAATCCATCGCAATAAATTCCTGGAAAATTTGCCATGATGTGCTGACTGATCTGACCTCATGCTCATTCTATCTTCCCCCACTGGTGTCCCGCCAGCGTATACCATTAGCACAGGCGGGTGCACCATTCTATTATCATCAATTAAAGAAAAGATTCAATATATATTTAACTCACCTAACAGACGACGCCCGACCCAGTGTGCTCTCTCCATTGGCATCGTCTTTAACCTCGACGGGGTCCACGTGCTCATTGGAACAGGGCTTCTGAACCAACTTGTGGCATTTCTTGTGCACCAACAATTTGCACTGAATGCATTTGAAGCCTTGCCGTCCCAGGCCCCAGATTCGGTCTTGGCAGAAGGCACAGAAGGCGCGCTGGAATAAAAAAAAAGGATCAATTTTAAAGAAGATTCTCTTTAATAGAGGGCGATAAATCTAAGATAAAATAAAATCATGAAAAACTAACAATAAAAAAATAAACCAAGCCAGAGAAGTAAAATTCTTTAACAATCCACCTGGTCACTGTGATAATAATATGCGTATTTCCCCCTTCTATAAAAGTATAGAAGGGGGAAATAAACACCCTATAAACGTGAAACTACTGGTTTTTACCAGTAGTTTGACGTTTATAGGGTGTTCTCAGAGCGATGGGACGGGAATTGTTAGTAATATGTTTTTGTGATTTTAGTAATAAACTATGTCAGGTCGATCTCCACGCGGTCCTTCCTGGAAATCACTGTGGTTAATTATTGTGAGTTATCTTGACTTCTTACTCATAGTAGCAATATCCGTATTCTGCTAGGGCGGACCATTTGGTTTTCATCCATTAAAAGAAGTTCGATGCTATAGACATAATATATGACTCAGTGGTCTAGTAGTTAAACACACCGTCTTATCTCCGAAAATCGCGGGTTCGATTTCTCGCTCGGCAGAAATATTTGTATCAGGATTGTTTGTTGGTCTGTGTTTTCTATTCATATTACGCATGCATATAAAAAAAAACTATGTTTAAGAGGCCTTTCACATTTTTTGGCCTAAAAGCAGTGTCTTTGGGGTTCTGGTTCTAAGAAATTAAGAGTCGGATATACATTTTGATTCCTGAATTATATAGATAGATATCTAATCTTAAAAACAACATCTTTTAAATGTTAATTTTCTCTTTGTTAGTCTTCCTAATTTCTAAAATAGTTTATTCAAAAACGCTAAATGACAGAAGTTTGGGGTCGTCGTTCATTAATAAACAAACATAAATTGATATGATATCTTTACTAAAACTTGATAATTACTTTATAAATTGAGACAGCATCGTCCTTTTTTTCATTTTCAACTTAAATATCTAAAAAATTGATCATAATTAAACCCGAAATTTCAACAAAACTTTGCCATAATCATTTCTAATTTTCTCATAAATACAACGAAATTGTTGCATAAAAAAAACATAATAATAAAGTTAATATATTTGTAAATTAGAAATATGAAAAAAAAAATATAAGTTTCTAAGAAAAAAATAAACAATAATAATAATTTAAAGTTGTATAAATTCCGTTGCGCCAAAAGTAAATTCCCAGTGCTGCGCTCGCGCTCGTCGAGGTAGGACATATGCCATTTTTTACAACACCGATAAGATAAGACATTCGTCAGTGAACATTAGTATAGAGCGACTAAACCATTTTGATAATTTAAGTAATATTTAATTAATTTTGCTAATATATACTTATTTCTACGAATATTAATTTAAAGTTGTTGTTAAATATATATATAATATTTATTTTAGCATGCCAAGACAAAAGTACAGTTATGCTACAAATAAAACCTACCTACCCTGCTGGACTATGAAAAGCACAAGAGCATGGTATTTCGTCACACTAATGGCAATTAATTGTTAAAATTAAAAAAGATAACATTTTAGTATTTTTAAAAATAACGCTTATCTGAGAGAAAAATGTAAGAAAATGTAAACCAATTTTACTCTATGTTTATTTTGTAGTTTTTTTCTAAATTAAAATAGGGTTATTGTTTATAAAAATACCATTATTATTTTTACGTACATTTGTCTTGTGTTATATAGTGTATATCATCTAGTATGCAATGTGGATTGTAAATAAATTACCAAATTATATATAAATTATATTCCTTAATGTTTAGAGATATTTTATCCAATTTTATTTTATTTTACACAATACAGATATTTCTAAATTGCAGCTATTCTGTTATTATACTCGTTGGACTTTCATTATTGTACAGTTATGTCAAATAATTATGCGTGTTTGGGTGAAAAGTCAACAACATTATAAATGTTTTTATTTAGAGACTATTTTAGCTCGCGGCTTCGCCCGCGTGAATATGGGATATATAGGTTATCGCGCGTTTAAAGATCCGTGTACAGTATTGGGACGTTATATATAAACCTTCCTCTTGAGTCTATCTATTCTGTCTATTAAATAACAACGAATCAAAATCTGCGTAGTTTTTTAAGATCAAAACATACATTGAAATTTAAGCCGTTAAAATGGTATTGGCAGATCAGTTGGAATCATCGGTATTCTTGGTATATAAGCTGGTTGCCCAGCTAACGTACCGGTTATAATGGTCTACAATTAAATTGTCTTTCAATTCTTTAGTAAGCAATATATCCAATGGGACGCCATTGCACATGTTCGGCGGGCTTAAATTTCATGACTGGATCATGCTTTTGAGAAATTCCTTCCTCAAGTTTGAGCATTTAGTGTGGGAAATCACTATCTGTGCTTCCATAAAAATGAGCTCTCAAATTTGTCAGTAGTTTTAAACTTTCAATTAAAGTCCATAAGGGAGACGATGTTAATGACACAGAGAGTCTTTCAGAAATCTCCAGCAAAAGTATAAAAGTAATCCCGCCAATGAGAGCAGAGGTGTTTCTAAGGTCTTTTAAGGTTCTGTCCAAAATCTCTATAGCTCATGGTGATTTCATTACATATAATCAATGAGGCGTCTTATAATAATTTATAAAAAGGTTTGACATTAACAATTAATTATTTATCAAGAATTAAGAATCGGCCAACCAAGAACGAGAAGCTGCAATATCAGCCAATATCATGCGGCGACGTCAATGATGCAGGAACAGCAATGATAGCAGTTGAAGCTTTTTTTTTACAACTTAGAATGGCAAACAAGCTGACGGCTCTCCAGATGGAAAGGGGTAACCGTCGCCTATATACATGAGCAGTACCTGCCATGTTCATATCAGCACATTGTTTCCCTCATGCGTTGCCATTCCTGAAAACTCGGGTGTTATTCCCCTGTACCTTGTAAATTCACTACCATATATATACACAGGTAGTCTATATAGATAGATATACATATACACAGATAGTATACCCTGAGAAAGGTATATAAGATAGACTACTTTATAGTGCGAAAAAAGTATTGTAAGGGATTAAAAGCGGAGATGAAAGGTTGTATAAAAGTATCGTCATTGTTTAATTGAAACAAAGAAACTTTTTAGGTTATAATCTAAATATATTTCCTTTATTTGGTCAATTTCATTATACCACGCTGACGAAGTCGCGGACACACCTAATATACATATAAGGATGGGACCTTTAAATCAAAACAAAGCCTTGAAAACACAACTATTATATATAAATAAAATAATTATTTGCTAAGTATAATATTTAGAACAAGTGAATATGGCAATAATGTATCCGACTCTTATAATAAATTATATTGTATCTATTAATAAATAAACTGAATTAATATGTAAGAAGAATTAATTAATAAATTTATGTTATAGTAATTTCATCTTCCTGTCCTTATCCCAATTATTTGTTACTCATATTACTTAAGGTTTTGGCTTTTAGTTGTACAATCGGCCAGCATCCTGACATCAACCCTCTAGGAATAATATAATAAAAAAATATGGTCATTATTAGCACTTTGATAATTAAGATAAATCACGTTATTTAAAAAAATCCAATAAGTAGTCTCAGTTAAGTAGAAACATATCACATTATTAATTAAAATATTACAAGGATCAAAATGGTTCATACTAAATCCACACCGATTGAGCTACACGGTTATTTGCGTCTGTGTGCGTGTATTACTGTGTGTGTGCGTAAATCCATGCGATTATACCTAAAGTTGAGCGGCATCATTTTGTAATAGTCCTCTTAAGTATATCTAACAGTTTATCACCCATAACACAAGCTTTGCTTAGCTTAGAACTAGAGGGCGCTGTGTGGGTGTGTGTTGCGTGTATACAGTGTTGTATTTTGGGTTATTATTATATGGACTTACTCTATTAAATCGTTTGGCTTGGAATATGTGTCCATTGACTCGGTAAAGTTTTCGCCACCGCCGTGCACCCCGTCTGTATATGCTTCCTGAAAAAAAAATACGATTGAAATAAGTACTCAAAATAAAAGTATTCACAATACTTTTTTAGGGTTAATAATTGGCAATAGCTGACCAATGGGGACATCTAATTGGCTAGACCTCCTGGGGTCCACTCTAAGGCTAAATTCCTAGTAAATTCGCCAATATGCGTCCGCTGTTGTCCCAGGTGCATATACGACTAGACCCGGCAGGTGTAGCATTTTATTATCAAAAATAAATAAAATTATAACACAGGATTATATACACACAGAGTGGAAACTTTCTGCAAGTGCCCAATAGGGACAGTTGAAACCGTTGCATATATAGTAATACATATAACTAGAATTATTATTGCCGTTATCATCATAAGTGTTGATATATACAATATTTTTAGAGTTCGTATTTTCGTTAGACTTAGTCACCATATCACTTTCCAGGTGGTATTAATACTCAAGGTTACTCTCTGTATACAGGTGTTCTTTTTTACAATCCGTAGAAAATTAGAACATATTTTATGTTACGTTATATCAAGGAGAAACAATTATGTATACTACAGTATATTTAACTAAATAATATCTTTTTATTAATAGTAAAAAAATATTATAGACTAAAATTATATTTTTTTTAATCAAAACTAAATCTAAGAACTATTGAAATAATGAAATATTCGTCCGAAATAAAATAATGAATTCTTTTCTTGTATTTTTACCAGATCGTAAACAATTTCATTGAACACAAACAGTAAATTAAATTTAAAAACAAAACAATTTCCCAAGTGATTTCGAAAGGTAAACAGTTTTCTATTCGATTGTATTTTATTACAAATTTATATACCATATATATTTACGTACTCCTCTATAATGGTACAGTCAAACATGGAAATAACTACACATTCTATTATCCTTATCCTTATCCTTAATCCTTAATAATATTATAAAAGTGAAAGTAGGGATGTTTATTACGCTTTCACGCAAAAACTACTGAACCGATCATTATGAAATTTTGTACACATGTTCTTGGAGGTATTAGAACGAACATAGGAACATTTAATTAAAAAAAAACAAATATGTTTTTGTTTAATGCGAGCGAAGCGGCGGGTAAAAGCTAGTGTACAATAAATGGAATGGAAAACAAACTGGCTCCCACCTGATGGTAAGTGGTAACCGTCGCCTATATACATGAACAGCACTACGGACGCGTTATCATGTGACATAAACGACACTAATGCGTTATCACTCCAGATGACTAAGAGGACTCTTATAGTACAATTTGAGTGATCAATTATTATGAAAATATCGTGAATAATATCACCTGTGAAGAATTTTATTCCCGGCGCACAAGACATCAGATACCAACATGACAAGAGCAAAGCAACACTGTTGTGTGGCAACTGATAGTTACCGGTGACTTATCGATACCCTATCTTATCAATTTAAAACGAATTTTCTGAATCACTATATGTTAATGGATTAAAACGAATATTTACACCCATTTTTACGATTGTCGATTGTCATTATTTGTTACTTGTGGCCCGTGCTATTTATTTTTATTTACTAGTTACCCGCTCCGGCTTTGCATGTGTGCATATATTATACATATAAACCATTCTCTTGAATCACTCTATCTATTGCTGACTGCATATAATCCGTTGCGTAATTTAAAAGGTATAAGCGAACAGACAGTGGTAGCGGGTTCATTTCATATTATGTATTTATTTACTAGGGGCTCCCGTCCTGGCTGCATACATGCAATACTAACATTTGAATTTCTCGGCTTGTTCCATAATATAACACGCATATGTTATACATATAATATATATATATATATATTCCACTTGAATCAATTTAACACCGCAGCTTTTCGTGGTAGTTTTAAATACTCTGCCACGAAGTGCTGGAATAATCTGCCTCCTCCTATCCTTAATTCAGTGACATTTGGTTCTTTCAAACATAATTTATTCACTCACCCTCTGCTAAAATTATTTTTGTTCTTTAAAGAGGTGCTTTAAAGAACAAAAATAATTTTAGCAGAGAAGACAATAATATAATAAGCATCTATAACATATACCAACTAGTGTAGTTGTAGTTTATGTACATTATATATTTAAATATTATTAATAAATTTTATTATAATAAATATCTCATTACATAACAATATACCTACTTAAATAATATACTAAATTTACTACATACATTAATTAAAATTGCATTTATCTTTACATACATTTTCATACCTATTTATAAAATGGTCTTAATTTTAACGTTTTATTTTATTTTGTTATCTTTACGTACGCTCTCTCGTGTGTGGTGGCCCCACTGAAAATCAGCGCTGTGGTATAACCATACTACAGTATAAATGCTGAGTGGGAGTTTTGATTCAGCGTTACTAGTATGTTTAGCTTGTAAATTGTATAGTATATAAGATAGATAGCACGTAAGAATTACAGTATTCTTGTACGACTTGTAAATGTAAATTTACAAGGATTATTTAAACGAGCAACACCCAAGTATCTTGCTCTTTCTTCTTGTGATGAGACAGCTTTCCGAACGAGTGGTAGAGAAAAAACAAATTGTTATGACTATTCAAAAGTGCTTAAATTAAGTTTATTTGAATACATGATTTTCTATTCTATTCCATTCTATTCTACTGCATTAAAATCCGTTGCGTAATTTGAAAGCTAAAAGAGAATAGACAGCGACGGCGATTTAGCATATCGCCTTTCGCAGGGTCGATTTTGCGCACGATACACGTACGTACGTTGGAACGGTTTGGGTCTTCTATGTATATATGTACAAAAAAAATATATCTATGCATTTATATCAGTTGTCTAGTACCCCTTGCTTAACTTGACGGCGCTGTGTTAATTGTCCAGGGTTATTTATTTATTATTATAAAGACCCCAAAAACATTTTGTTAATAAAAATAATTGTGTTTTAATTTCTATTTCTCTAAGTTAATCCGAGGGACTACGACAGGCTCATCCCTTGCAAAGTTGGAGTAAATAATGTTTCTACCTACCCCATCTGTGATATTTGTCGTGAATGTATACTAAAAATCCCCAAATATGATTATATTGTATAACGAATATTCTCATCCTCAATCTTGGCAGAAAACTCCCAAGTTGGGAACCCCAAAACCTTAAACGATATAAGAAAAATTGAAAAATGAGTTTATGAAGCGGCCACGTCAAATTTCCATAAGTTTGCGGAAGCAGGAGCCAGTGTCGTGTCAGCCCACGAGTGATTTATGCCCCATTCGATTAAGAACTTTATCTCGCCGTTATGCAGCATATTTTGCAATGATTCCGAGATTGTTAGCTAATTATTGTACACGAGTAGACCGACCGGCTTCGTGTAGTTATTCATAAGTTTGTCAGTTTTGCATATATTAACATAATATAATAAATGGGGTATGTCACTCTGAAATAACCTACCTTTCAAACAGTTAAAGAATTTTCGATATGATTAAGTGATTCTCAAGTTTACTTTCCTCATTAATATCCTCTTTCTCTTTATACATTAGTATAGATAATAATAAACTCCGAACAATTCACACAGCGCCAACTAGAACCAAGTTAAGGTAGCTAAAGCTTGTGTTATGTGTACTAGACAACATACCGATACAAACAATCATACTCATGAATACAAATATTGGTACCATGCGAGCAATCGAACCCGCGACCATCGGAAGTAAAGCGGTGTATTAAACCGCTAGACTACCGAGGCCGTCTGTAGTATGGGAGAATTTGAAATGTTCCACTTGACGGCGATGCATGCTCGTTACTGAAAGTTGTTTTATTTGACGTTCTGATGCACCCAAGAGTTTTTCTTTATTTAAACGCGATTCTTGGCTACGTAAAATATTCACTGCTCTCAGATTATCTACACCGGATTGGGCGGGTAAATATATAAGTAGATATCTCTTAATACACAGTACACATTATATAGAAACTTTGTTTGTCTGTTGGCTTTCACGCCAAAACTACTGAACTGCTTTAAGGTGAAATTTGGTACACATATTTGTGTACTGACTAACGTCAAGATCCCGAGAAAGTAAATAGGCTAACTGATTACTGCAAAAAAAGTGTTCTAAAAGTTGTATGGAAATATCATACTCTACTCATCATTTTTAAATCTAGAAGCTTGAGATGCTGTTTGAATTGTCCATGAATATAATAATATGTAATATAATATAATGTTATTATACTTATACGTTCCGCTGTCGACATTAGCATATGAATACCTGCGATGCTTCCAATACCGTTCAATTTGAGATACCAAGCTTGCCTTCACCGTCAACGTTCCCTAACAAAATCTCAAGTATTTAGATAGCATTTTTTATAGTTTTATGCTCTAGTTAAAGTATAGAAACGATTACGTAGATTGAATATTTATTTATAGTCTTACAACCAATTAAATAAAACAAACCTATTTAAAAATAACTAGTGGTCACCCAGTGGTCGAAATTTGATCATAATTAATTTAACATTCAGTAATAATAGGCATCTAGTAGAGAACCCTTTCTACACGGACGTGCTTTTTCCACTCTCCGATTTCCAAGAGAGTGAGATATATAACAAATTAACATAACGTCGAACTGGGGCAATAGATATATCTCTTTTATACTCTAATATAATGCTCAGTGTAAGCGAGTGCTGAGAAAGTTGGTAACAAGCACTATAGAATTATTATATGGTTAAGTGTGCCCCATTGGCGCAGAAACTTATAGTTATACTAAAGTAATTCCCAAGAGTTTCCCGCACACGTGAGAAAAACGACAACTGAAGGTTCAAATTCGTTCTTATATTAATATATTATAGTTTTTTTTTCAATTAAGAAAAGTGACTGCTTTTATATTGTTAAATTAAAATAATAATATTCAAAATTTTACGTCAATAGGATACGGTCGATTTTCCGACGGAGCCGGGTAATGTACAAACATCTTATGATACAAACATTAGTATTCATGAGTATGGGCTGTTTGTATTAGTCTGACTGTTAATTATTATACATAACAAACTAAGTATATGCTATGTATAGGAAACTGGGAATATATGTACGAGACATGTGACCAACACAACAACAACAATAATTAAAAAATAGAATGTATATTACCCGCGAAACTTGAAAGTCACCTTACTATTTGAATACACTAGGTATGTTGTTATAGATTTTTAACGTTGCTTACTTTGGTATTAGGTTGCGCTGTGTGAATTATCATGGGTTATTAATATTATATACATATTTTGATGTTTACTAATTAATTTTTCAAATACAACGATTCATAAAAATTTTGTTGCATTCTCGTTCACTATGACAATACTTTTTAAGTAATTAGTGCCTGGGGGGCCAAATTAACCCGCTCTTTTTTATTTTCAGAAGCATCTCGTTTTTATGTCCATTTTTGCTAATTTTATCCAATAGCTTGCAAATTTAAGTCACGTTAGATAGTTATACATTTTTATTTGCCTTGAGTTGGAACAACGATTCACCTTCATATGTCATAGACTACAAAAACGGACGCATTTCTGCAATTATTTAACCTAATATTTTATATTACAAGAGGATCATTTTCTAGAATTAGGTTATATATTGCGGAAGTCCATTTCATTAATTAATATCTTAAATATTTAGACCAAATTCCACTTCCAAGCTATATCCGAGCTCTATTCAATGCCTGATGATGTCTACCTCAGAGGCGAAACACGTGTCGAAATTTGGTGTGAACACAATAACGATCGGAATTTGATCACCAATAAAAAAGATCGTAACGCTTCCAATAGCGGTGCTCAGCTTTCCAAAATAAATATTTGTGGTCTCATACATGCTAATGGTACCAGAATTATCCAAAATAATGTAAATCCAACGTAGTTTAAATACAACCAATATTAAACATTCTTTCAGTCATAGAAATCTATATTAGAGAGTAATATAACTGTATTTTATAAAAAAAATAAAAATCTATAGAAAATACAGCCGTGTGAAATCTGGGTGGATTGCAGGTTATAAAATAAAAAAAACAATACTCACTATCTTCGCCCGCACAGGGCATGCCAGGCGCCGGTGGCACATTCGGAAACACTGAAACAAAGAGATAACATCATTAGCTTTGAATTACACTCCAGGAACAAAAGCCGGGCACAAAAGCCCACTGTCCAGGCAAACCGAACACGGCGTTATTTCTTCTCTTTTCCCGACAATATTACGTTCCGTGTGAGAAACGAAAATAAGTTAAAACAGCAGTGCCTCGATTTAGTCATTGTTTTCGACGATAAATAAACGTTTCGAAACAATTTTGTGGGTTTGCGTTGCCTAGTAATTAGGTTTTGAAATTCATATTGAATTATCTTTGTATTTTGTTTCTAGAATAGCAAACAACCTAACAGCTAAAGTGGCAACTATTGCCTACCTATATATGAACAGCATCACGTCATCACATGATGTCTATGGTGCCATTATTGTCTTGCCATTTTGGACGACTAACATGCTTCAGTATCTCGTATAACACTGCCGAATCCCACTCTTTAACTGAAACACAGCTTCCAAAGCAAGATGATTAGCAGCTGAAATCGGCGAAACAGAAGTACAAACTACGTAGACGACTTTCTAGAAAACTCAAACTGGTACTCAAAATCATTCATAACATAGTAGTCCGCAAGTCAGAGGAATTTTTCAATTATTTCCTCTTGATCGAAAACTTCTAAGATGGTTAAAAATTGGCCTAGTGAAAGTCAGCTGCGGTTATGAGGGTGGGTTGAAGGTCTTTTTAAAAAAAATAATTTCGGTCATTTTGTTCTGGTTCTAAATTGCTATTAATTCATAATACAACCATCATTAACTATCTTAGAAGTTTTGGGCCGGTAAATTGCTCGCGGACCATTGAATAATTTCAGCCTTGTGCAGGTCATATTTTTTATCACCACCCTCCAAAGTCTATATATGAAATTGCACTACTCTGCCTAGATTCCCCTTGGCGCGAGAGGCTAAACTAAGCGAAGAATATGCAATAAAATTCTGTTTTACGTTGAGCAGCATTTTTAAATGTTAGTCATTTACTACTGATTTTAATTAATATTTAAAATTTTCATAGACAACAATATTATATACATTATTTTAGGACTACAGTTGTTATAGAAAAGGACGATCTCCATGTATAGTTTATTTCTATCTGTCTAGTACATAACGCATTTGAGATAAAGATATGGTTAGATATTTATATTGATAAGAATTTTCATGAAAATTTTAGTACACTTGGTGTTTGTAATGACATTGATATGAAACGATAAAAATACCGATAGCATACAATACATGTACTGTCCAGTTTAAATTCTGAATGAATAGGTACTAAAGGATATAAATAATTGGTCAAGAATATTCAAAGATGCAACAGTAAAGGTGTAAATGTAGGTGAAAATACTATGTTAATAATAAAACAGCATGTAAGGAAACTTGTCTATAATATAGTTGCAATGTATTTTTTTAAAACAGCCTCATACCACATCTCATAACAGCTCTCGCTGTGCTAGCCCCTTTAATTAAAAAGCAGAGCTCATGTTACCAGTAGTTTTACTACTTTTTTTATGAGTACTTGACATCTGATAAACATACTAAAATAGATTTTTTCCAGGTTATCTGTAAAACATTGCCTTAAGCGATAAGGCCGCCTTTTGTTAGATATATCTATGCAAAGTGTTTTTTTGGAATTACTTTTTCAGTCAGCAATAACGAATTATATTATTATTATTTTGTAAATACAAATTACATTTAGTAGATTAATACGTACAGCTTTCTATATTATAATTCAAGAAGATATTCATGAATATTGTAGTAGTAGTTAGTAGAAGTTTGTAGTGCCTGGGAATTAAACACGCGGCACTTGGAAAGTAAAGTTAAACAATAATATTTAATAAATAAAGAAAAAGAATTAAAAAAAAGTTTAATGTTACATTATTTTTCTGTTTCATACGAATTAAAAGGCAATGAAAGTTCTCACCCACATGAAAGTGGCAAGCACCTATAGACGTGACCAGGACCACTGACAACAACAAAAACGGCTGACTGTTATATTTTTTTAATTAACACACCTACTAGTCGCCCACATTATGAATAGCAGGATTTCGAATTGAAAAGGTGGCATTACTTTTTCAGTGGGCAGTTCTAACAAAGAAAATAATAAAGGAATAATTATATCATTATTATAATAAACTCATAATTACATCATCTTGTGGGAAGGTTTCTTACAGCTTTCCCAGCCTGAAAGTTATGAATTTGACAAACTCAAATACCTATTAGTATATAGTCTATTGTTTGCCACATTATCAGAAAAAAATGTATAACAAAATCATAATTAAAAGATACGATCTACAACATAGTCTACTAGATGTGACTCGTTTGCTTATTTAAAATAAAATTTAGTTTATGTCCATCTTCGTGATATTTAGTAGATACAATATTACAAAGTAGCAATAATAGATAAATAGAAAATTTATACATACAATAAAGAAATAACATAAACGATATATTAAAAAAGATGGATTGTATATACATTATTAGTATAGATGAATTTGTTATTACAAAAATATCAGATAGAATCTTTATTCAGACTAACTAAACTAACTTTAACATACATACCTGTTTACAATATTATGTGGATGCGACGTACCAAAAAGCAATCATATGAGTCAATAATAAAAAACGTTATTCAATGAAGTATCCCGTTATATTCCAAGTTGAACAATAATTGTACGCCTAACCCGCGAATTCAATTAAAAACAAGAACAAAAGCTAAAAAAACCGATTGTTCAAAACAAATTGGATCCCGGCGATCCCGCAATTGAAACTTGCCGAGGTGGTACTCGGAAATGTGTTGTTGAGTGTACACGGTGACCAATACATACATATTGTTATGTATGTTTTTATATAATGTATAGGGTGCAAGGAGGATGTGACTCAAAGACTAGTGTTCGTAACAAAAATCCTCCGAAACGGTTTGACCGATTCTTGATGAAATTTTCAGTGTTCAGTAAGTCTGAGAATACGACGGTAAAGTATACATTATTTTTTATGGCAAAACTACGTCTACGTCAGCTAATTTTGATACTTACAAAATTTAAGTAACCACAAAAAAAAGAGTTACGAAAATTTATAAAAATAACTAGCACTAATATAGTATAGTATATATAGTAATAGAAATATATATAATCTTTATTCAAATAACCTCAATACAATAACTTTTGATTAGTCATAGTTTTTTTTATTCTACCATTCATTCGGAACGCAGACACATCTCAAAGAGAACAAGTAAGAAACTTGTGTGACTCTCCCGTTCCGCAAAACCAAAGATTACATTATAAATATACAAAATAGATATACTGAGCGAAATTATCGATGATCGCGACCATCAAAGGCATTCATGTATTGAGCCATGATGGCCCGTCATGTTGAGGAGCTTTTATGCATTTAAACATTCGCTGTGAATAGGCCGAGGGTGTTTTGTACTTGGATGGTCATACATGCGGTGAGTTAGGAGCTTTGTTGATCCACTCGCAGTTTGGTAATTTCGATAAATATTTACTTTATTCACATGAACAGATATGTGTGTGTACACATAGCCTTTTTACAACACAGTATAATGATTTTTTTTTTCAATACATACATAATATAAATAGAAAACACTCAGACCAATACTAACAATTGTACTTATGAATACAAATTGTTGCAGAATGATTGTTTGTCATGTCTCTGGGTGTGTTATATGTATGTATTTAAAAAAAATATCAGTTGTCTAGTCCCTTTAATGCAAGCTTAGCTTGGGACTAGATGAATCTGTGTGAATAGTCCAGAGATATTTTATTATAATTTGTCTATTTGTGTAAACACATACAATTACAAAAAACGTATAATTTTGTCATATATTTTTGGATGTTTACATCTTAATAATTAAACGAAATTAAATTATCATAAAAACAAATATTACATGTACTTTTTAATTACATTTTGATTGAGTAAGTTTAAATATTTTCAGCTAAATGTGGCAACCCTGACCTGTGATCCCGAAACGATATCACACAACAAAGTTTTTCAATATAATTGATTTAGCGCACTGAAGTTCAGTGATTCCGAAAACGCTCTGTAATTAATTGACATGGAATTTAATGTATCGTTTATTGTTATATATTTTCAGATAATGGCTATCTAACTCTAAAGTTGGACGAAATAAAACACATTAAAATAATCAGCTTTTTTAGAGGTTGCTCTTTGTTTTCTGAGATAGAAAGTTGTATTTGGTCCAAAAAACTGTACAATATCTATCCAAAGTAAGGTACTTATTGGGGTTCATCTCACAAAATCTAACCAATCTGTATTTATTTTATCGAAGTAGGTGATATTTTGCGGAAGTGCATTTCATTGCTTAATACATTTATACCATTTTGTTTAATTCCGCAAACCACAAATATTCATTGCGGAAATCTGACCACCGCTACTGGAAGCATTACGACCTTCTTATTGGTGATCAAATTCCGACAGTTATAGAGGCTACACCTATATTGCACATTGAATAGAGTTCGGATATATCTTGAAAGTCTAGTGGAGAGTGATCGGAAATTAATTAGGGATATAGCAATTGTTTCGAACTATTCTAATGCCGTTAGCCGTAGCTGGTCTTAACAGCTTCACGATGAGGGACGAAATAATAAATAGATTGTACCTTTTGTTTCTTTTCACAGGTATTGGTTGTCAATGTTGGCATATATCTTAACATTCATCGACCCGTTACGTTACCCCTACGTGTACGTGATTGCGCGTGACTGGGGTACGTATCGATTTCACATTTATAGTTTAGCAAGTAGAAGGTAAGAATACGTTTCAATATTGCATTTATTAATAGTAACAGCTATATGTATATTGTATATACTAGCTGACCCGCGTAACTTCGTGTACATCACACTTACATGACATTTATCATTGTATTTCGCCCAATATACATAATTTTAAAATTCTACCAGTTCTGTTATTCTAATGTATAAGCTATATTACTGTAGTTTCATAAAAATACTTTCAGTAGTTTTTGCGTGAAAGAC